TAATGTTCATAAAGCTCTACCGCCATCATTAGAAACGAACCCTAGTGGGAATTTATTAACGCAACTCAGTCAATGAGACAAGTTACTTTGCAATAAATGAAATGGAATTGTCAGAAGGGGTTTTGTGGAGATTTAGTATTTTTCATAGTTGAAAGCGTGAGTCAATTGAAGCTAGACTCACGCTTTCAACTATGAAATGGAATTGCTCGAAGTAGCTGATCATGATGATCAAGAAGTTTTGGTCAGTAATGGCGTTAGAACTACGGTTAATTATAAGGCGAATCTATCAAAGTCTTCCAGGTCTTATGGGTTTCAAGTGAATTATTTCGTCATGTAAGTGGAGAGGTGTTAGCGATACTATCACAAGCGTATATGAATCCGCATTTTAAACACGGAAGTCAAGTAGTCATTCCTTGTTCCACATATAAAGCGGTTAGGGTGGGAAGGGTTCAACGGCTAGGAATCGAAAAGGTGGAAGGTATTTCCAACTTAATATATGAATGCAGGTTGAGGTGTCTCAACGCATTTCTGCTATCTTACCGTAGGGTGCATGACGATCCAATATTTTCTTATCGTAATCGAACGATTATCTTGGTATCATCATGTCTTAACTATTTCTCTCAATTAAGAATTGGTAATCGAAGAGGTTACTTACCGAAAACTCAGAAATCAAGATCGAATCGCCTACGTCTAGAGTTTCGTTTCCCACATTGTTTCTTAAATTACTGGAATTCTCTCCCAATACACGTGGGTCAATACCTGATAATACATTCAGATAGACTGAATTTTCGTAGAACTACAGATTAATGCATTTCACTTGACCTCTTATCTCCACTTGTGAAGACTGAATACTATGAATTGAGTACGCACTGTACAAACAAAAAGTTTAGGCCGGACGCGGTTCTCAGTTCTCAAACTCATGCCGTGTCTTTGAGCAACAAAACTACAATTTTTATTCCAAAGAATTCGTCCTGAACTCAACATTTAGCAGATTAATTTTACTTCAGAGTCTCATCTAAGTTAATAGTTAACTTTGGTTTTGTCTCAACCTACTATTCGGGTTTTACGGCTTTCCACGTCGAAAGTACCTTAAGTATATTCTAACTTTTTATGCTACTCGTTTTCATTCGTTTGGAGTCTTCTACCTTCGTAAACTTTTGCTAGGGTTTTCTTCAAAAACTCATATTTCATTTTGGTCAATAAAAGCTCACGTAAGATACCTGAATACAGTTTTGTTGTTACTAGTGAGGATATACTAAAGCTCTGCACTGCCATAAAATCTGTGGTGTTAGACTGTCTCAGTAAAATTGTATCTTCCAGCAAAGATCGTCAAGTAAAACCGTGGTCCCCAAACTTCTACTGTTGGCTAGTGGAGCTCCATCAAAAGGGCTAAAGGGTACCTAAAGTCATCATCAAAAAATGATGAACAGTCCAGGTATTATCAGGAAGCTAACCAATGTTATGCCATGCAATATTCGCTCTATATCATCTAACAAGTCAAAAAAAACAACTGAATCCAGACTGCAATCCAACCACTAAACGAAGACGTTTCAAACTTCAACTCACCTGAAAACCTGGGAGAACAGACACAGTTCGCCATGATTCTTCCATTATCAAGCACTCTAAAGATAACCGTGACCGTCCTCCCAATCTGTGAAGCAAAGACGACGGGAAGCTTTGGATAAAGTTTTACAATGTGCTCAGACTTCCCAAGTTTTAGCCACTAACGTTTACACGGCTTACTGGATGGAAGGGTAGCAGACACTAGGATCATCCATTACTCCGTGTAACATCCACTAACACTGCCGACATAGTTGTCCTGCTGACCAGTCACTTGGTGAAATCTGATTGGGATGTGAGAAAGTTGCCTGATATACAATATTCTGAGTGCAGTCACACCAGAAACATCCCTAAGTAATCTCGTGAGACGTTCTTTCGCGTGAGAAATATCATTTTGCAAGGTGTCATTGTAAGATTCACTTTGAAGGTTTTGGGTGTGGAAATCCCGCCATGCATACATTTGCAAATTGTTCTTATTGAATTCTTTAGTTGTACATTTTGTTAGTCTTTTTGATGCCATTTGAGATGACAATTTTTTATTTTATTACAGTTTTCTCATTTTTCTTTAGCCTTCACTGGGTTTCTATGTTTCTTCCTAAACTGTATTTATGTTGTTTTAGTTGGTACCTGATCTTGGCAAGAGCCATATTGATTGCTCCCTCTTTGATTATGTTGCTCGGGTTGACTAGGATTGTGCATTTTGATTGTGAATAGAAGCACTTTTCCAGAATTGGAAACACTTTGAGTTATAAAGCAACAAACTATTATCTTTTGAATGGATTTTTATTTGATCTATCCAGAAAGGACGAGGATACTAGACCCCGGCTGATAAAGGTAACCTTCCCATCCCGTCAAATAGCGGTATTTCGTGTCAACAGAATTCATTTATCAGCCGAAATCTGCATGCACCCGGGCAGGCCTCTTGAACCATGGATTAAGCAGAAAAGCATATGGGAATTGACCATTCCACCTGTGTACTGTCAAGAACGGGGGAGAAACAAAAAATGAAGGGGACTACCCACTTGGAAACCCCCCTGTAGATACATTTCATGTCCAGTCACATAAGACCGATCCAGAGAAATAGGACAGGTAAGCTCATGCATTTCGAATCGGAAGCATCAACTTCCTACACACGGATTCTAAGAGCTCACGGAATAAAGTGCATGAGTTATGTTAATTCAGTATTGCTATCAATACTCATCTGATTGTAATATCTGACACATAAGCATCTTCTCGAATCACGAGGCCGGGAGCATGCAGTGCCCTGCATTTCTGTAGTGGCATTGGTCCTAACCTCATAGCCCTCAAAGCTGAACAAAAAATAACTGGGAAAATGAATATTCAACACTTAACACGGAGAGAAGGTCAACATTAGTGAACTCGAGAATGTAGGGATTCAAAGAGATGGCATTGCCCAGCCTTGCAGACGTGGCCATTCTATATAACTTTCCTTTACCTACATTACATATATCATTTTATCTTTAGCCTGAATGTGTCCTTTACAAACCTCGAACGTTATATCTCGGATTGTTATAATACGACGAGTCAGAATAGACAATGATGTGACTTCCACGTGAGATTTTATAGATTGTCTCCAAACCATGACATATCTACAATTTTCGGTTTAGGTCTATTGCCATAATAGTACTGATAACGAAATAGACTATAATTCTACATTTCCTAGTTTCTCAACAACAGAAAAAACAGAAACAGGGTCCAGAGTTGTCATGTACGGTCACGTTTTCTTGGTGACAAATCAAGTGTTCACGCTGTAATTTATCAATCTTGACTGATCTGTATGGTGTCCATTAGGATTGTCTAACACTTTGAGATGTCTAATTGTAGTCGACTACAGAAAGCCCACTGCCGACGCCAAATACGGCAGTTGTATGCTGTAGAGTTTATCCGAATCTACTCGTCCCAGATATACTCATATTCCTATTCTGTGAGACTTGAATCTTCTTCAAGTCACATTCGCCGACACACACTTAAACTGGTGGTGACAACTCGTTTCTTTGACCTCGATGAAGAGTTGTAACTATTCGAAAATGTGAGATTAGCAACTCGGTGGTGTACGCAATAGGTACAACTGGGAAGAATATAAGTAAACCAGCGACGACAGTACAAACAGGCAGTTCAAACAAGTAAAGAAACAATGAGCAAAAATAAAAGATGGGCTTTAGTATCATACCAAGCTAATCGATGAGTCCGGAAAGATTAATCTGCCATGCAGTCTTTCTTCGACAATCGATAATCAGATTGTAGCGTTAAATAAATCCCCAAAATCAATAGCTCTCTAAGTCTTCGACATTTGATGCCGACCGCATTAGTTTTAATGGATTCACCTAGCTGAAGGCACCCGGTCATGCATCCGCACCAGATCACGAGTGGGAAAGCCGTGCCTAAGTTCTCCTGCAACCGCTAGACAGTTGGATCAGTCACTTCTCGATACATTGATGACCTATCAAATATATCTTCGAACCTCCTAGCTCCTGATTTTTGATTTCACTGAGTGGGCGCGATTCAATTGTAGGTGTTATTAGTTAAAGTGTTGTCAAACTACAAATACGTGGGGCATCTTCAAGATTCTCTCCCAGCACCATGAAAAGTTATGTGGTCTCTGATGTGTGACGGTCTACGTGACCACTTGCTATCCAAAACTTCTTTCCACCCTGACAGCACCGTTTCAAGATGGGCCACTTCTGTATATTCAACCTGCTGACCGCGTTAGACAGATGAAGAACCATCCTTGATCGCAGGTGGGGTGCTGATGTCACACTGACGCTCATCTTTGGCCGGTTTGGATGTAGAAAGTACCACTTAATCTTCAACAGTTTTATGTGACCCCATTTACAGCATGGAAATATAGTGTTTTCCCCTTACTCTAAATCGATAAGAGTACACTTGGACGTATGCAGAGGCCAGCCACAAAATCCGTTCGTGGACTCACATTCAAACCTTATAAAGAACCCTCAGATCACTGAGTCTTTTCCTGTCAGAGTATAGGCGTCTCAGAGGTGACATGCAGAATCCTCAACGCTCCTGAAATTCTCCTAAAATATCTACTTAAGCATGGTCCCAAAAAACCTTACGGGTAACATCCAGAAATTAGAGACAACGCAGCAGAATGGACTGTAGGCATACTTTTTACTCTCCATAAGCAGTCAAATTCTAGAATTCTCTGCCAGCTAAAGTGGTTTAGGGGACTTTCCAGGTGTCCAATATCTGCCTCGGCAGAAATATATTACTTAAAACCTGACATATTCTTTGGGATTAGGGATAGTATCCCCCTATAGTTTCCCTTTATTTTTCTTTCTGTCGTTAAATATACCTAGGTTTCTAAATGAAGGCCTTGTTGATCCGCTGCAGCTAGATAAGGAAGCCCGTTAAGTTAAAGCTTCTTTTATTCCGTCCAGACACATTTGACCTATTTTCAAAGTGAAACATTTTGGATTTGGCGTTACGCTATGATTTGCTGCACTACTGCGGTACGAAGTACGTTGTAATCGTCAGTTTTTGATTTTGTTTGTGGACTTTGGTCATATCATACTTGTCTCACAGGCTACAGGTCTAGTAAATAAAATGTACATTTGATGCAACTTTCGATTTTCAGGATTTCATAGAGAATTTCAGTGTCCTAAGGAAATGCTCATATACTTGGTATCTCTGATAAGTCAGTAAATGGAACTGTTACATAATTTCTTGTCGTTTAATTTTGCTCATCTGATTGCAGTCAGAAATCGTCCATTTCAGTACAGTTTAGGCTCCAAATTTGTGCGAATTTCAGGGGAACCGTCACTGTGAGCCTAATGACAACTTAATATTCATATTTTGAAAAAAATTTCTCCACTTTTGGGAAAATTTTGGGGAAGCTGTAATAGGGAAGGTCTGAGCAAATGACACAAAAACCCCAAACTTTTCCCAGGTCTGGGGAAAACCCAAAGCTTCGTAGAAATGCATCTATATTCATAGTTAAAACCTCTGGAATTTCCCCACAGTTTTGGGTTTTCCCCAGTATGTTCTCAGAATTTTCGACAACTTTGGGGAGATTCATCGACGTTTAGTGATCAAACCTCAACAATTTTCCGCATTAAGTGGACTTTTTGCACGATTTCCGGTTTTCCCCTATACCTTATTCGGGAAAAACCCCTACTGTACAGAAAAGCCTACGAACTAAATAATAAGTACCCACAATTTGCTAAGTAGCTATTCAATTTCTTCCTTCAGCTAACCTCGTGAAATGAACGCAGTTTCAAAGCAATTAGACCACGGCAACAAGAACCGGTCTGTCGCGATAAATAAGTATTGCCGGCGAGACTAAAGGACATGGACGTTGAACTGTCGTTCACAGTGTTCTACAGTACTCTTCTGCATTACAAACGCAGTATCAAAACAGCCAAATTGCTAAGCAAACGAATGCCCTATGTCATAGCGATCACCAAATATATGAATCCGTAATGCCATGTGAAAGGTCGATTGCGTATCAGTGGTAATAACAATAATGTCTGCTGAACTAAAAGCTTACAGTTAGGTCTGTGAGCGCTTGCGAAACCAGCTGAAAACACGATAAACAGGAAATTATTACTTCACTGTAAATGTTTACTAGAAACCAATATAAAATCAAAAACAGATATTCAATTACAGATCGAAAGTGCATTTAGCTCACCCTTTCTTTGGATCGTCATCCACGCTTATTGACTTTATCTCTTGCGTCGTGTAAGGAAGCCTAGCTTGCAACATCTATGGTTTGTGTTATTTCTTTCTCTGGTCAGGTTGCAATTCGAAACCGCGGACACAGAACATCTATAAATATACTAAGACTGTGATGTAGACTTATTTTGAATCGTTCTGTAAGACCCGTAATTACTTATACCTATTCTACTCTTAATCCAACGTAAGGTATAGGTAATTGTTAGTCCCGGCGTCAGTACATGAGCTAGATATGCTTTGGTCGACTTCTGAAGATCACCACATACGATTTCGGACAATCTGATAATCCCCAAATGCCCTGGTACGACCGAGTGGCGAGGGCTCGCCTTCTCTCGAAATGCTCTCACACGGCCACGTGTATACAGCCTCTGTCAGGGAAGTCCTCACTGCCTTCTCGTGGCATTACTGTTGTTTATGAAATTGAGAGGACGAAAAGCGAATGTCCGGCGCTTTAACAGGGTTGGTGGACACGGAGGGTCCACCTAGGGGAGTTAGAAAACCCTGATTCCAAACCAATGGTGCACATGGACTCCGGGGGCCTGAAGGAACAAACGGCGTGTGAACCAATCGTCGGTCACCAGCTACCATGGGACTGCATCTCCTCACAGTGCTCCACTACCTTGTGGATCATACCTTTAGGTAGAAGGCTCCGAGTGTGGCCCCTTAAGAAAACCACCTGTTTCGGTCTGAGCAACCGTTCAGTATCACAGCCCTCACACATTTAAAAGAAATGACAATTTTTGTGTGGCGCATATATATGTAGTGCCCCCTTGTACCAATATTTATGTTAAAATAATAATAGTTATTATTTAAACATAAATATTTGTACAAGGAAGCACCAGATACATATGCTTCGCACAAATCTCATTCGATTTGTGTAAGGGCTGTGATACTGCCCAGGTGCCCAAACTGAAGCAGGTGGTTTTCCTAGGGGGGCAAACCCAGAGCTTTTGACCTAAAGATCTGATCCACAAGGCAGTGGAGCATCGTGAGGAGATGCAGTCCCATGGTAGCCGATGACCAACGATTGATTCATACGCCATTTGTTCCCTCAGGATACTTGAACCCATGTGCACCATTGGTTTGGAATCAGGGTTTTCCAACTCCCCTAGATGGACTCGCAGTGCCCACCAACCCGATTAAAGCGCCGGACATTCGCTTTTCGTCCTCTCAATTTCATAAACAACAGTAATGCCACGAGAAGGCAGTGAGTAGGACTTCCCTGACAGAGGCTATATACGCGTGGCCATGTGAGAGCATCTCGAGAGGGAGAGCGGACTCTCCCCACTCTCGGCCGTACCAGGGCATTTGGGGGCATGTTAAAATGTTAAAATAAATATATTTAAATAATAAATAACGAACTGGTCACGGAACGTTTGCTTCTCTAAAGCAGCTTCAACAGTACGCATTTCCTCAGGCATTTTCAATGCGAATCCTCAACTCGAACTGTCGCTGTACCTGTCCTTCACACCCATGTATGAACTTCCGATATAAGCAGTCAGTTTGTCCATCTTGCTAGACAGTTCAGTGACTGCTTTCAGAATCCTTAACAATGTTTTTCTGTCATCATTGTGCAGCGTTTTGCTATCACTTTTACAATTACTCCAACTTAAGGGTTACTAACTGCCGTTGAAGTAGATGAAAGCGGTGATGACAACACCTGTTTTTGAGAAACTACTTTATGAGCATGTACTCAATAGATACTTACTGAGCTATTGGGGAAAAGTTCCTAGTCAGTTGGATTGTTGGCACAAAGGTGGCTTAAAATAATGCGTGCTAATGGTGGTTAACTAATAGTTAACAACTAAACTTTGGTTTGCTAACCTGCAACACAAGTTTCAAATCTTCTACGTAGTCGTATTGGTTTATTATGTGTCCTGTTTGTGATTATGGTTTATTAATTTACACACAGCTCTCCTTGTAGACTGTTTTATACTGCCTGTTATTTAAGCGTATTATTTGGTATTTAAAGCGTGGCTACGTAAAATGACAATTTCTTCCTCAAGTTATTTATTTGTTAGTTTATATTTCATGTTTTTGTACTTGGCAGTATTTCAACTTGACAGGTCCCTGACCAGGCCACCAATGCATCTCATATTATTTGTATGCAAATATCTCTTCTGTGCATTATTATTCATCAACTAACTGTTGGAGGTCTGCTTAAGGGAGTCCTAGTACGGTTATATTATAACCAGTGTTTGAGCCTTGCTACTTTTATCAACTGTGGTTGACAAGCTACTACAATATTATAAGGACTATGTTTTGCGAAGACTTACGCCTGGATATTCTGAGCACCTGTTGCACTGCTTTCCTACAATATCGTTGTCCTAGGTAGTCGTTAAAAATCACAATGAAGACTTCAATGAAACTGGTTAAATTTAGCAATTATCGAATTAAATTTACTTCATCCGACTGAAATTAACTTGGGTGTGGTTGAGTTGACTCAGAAGTGTGAATTATCGTGTACTGACCATAAATGCTCATCATTCAAACTCATCATTTGCTCTTCTCAAAAAGTGATTTTGTTATGTTGCCAAATAAAGTATACCGCGTTCTTAGGGGGGGGTTATAGTATAGGCGCAGCCATAGTTGGTAGCTGCGAACCACTCATTGGCTAGTGTTCTTAGGCTTTTACAATAGTAAGTAATCTATTTACCTATTTTAATTTTTAATGTGTTTGACTTTGAGTCTTATTATAAGGGTTAGTGTCACTTTCCAAAGTGGAGTTAAAATACATGCAGTTAGTTCTGTCTCATGAATGGTAAACTGTGTTTGCTGTACATTAGTACTTGCGTGGGTGCTACGTCTTTTAAATATACGTTCTTGGATTTTCATTGATTTAAACATTTCATATCTTTCTGGTGCTCATAATTCTCCACTCATTTTCTGTTTTATTCTAAAATTACACAGAAACTATTTTGTTTCTAGATTTGGAATCAATTCTATGAGAATTTAGGATAGCAACATTTCCTGAAATGCTCTTTATATCTTTTAGAGTGGTCTGCTTGTAAGCTTGTATAAACAAAACCACCATGATAAACCATTCAGCTATACTTCTGTTGTGTTGTACTGATAGAAACTCTTGTACGTGACATCCAAGTGTTGTTTACTGAAAAACAAAAATGTCATACAGTGCTTTCTGTGTGATATCTAAGTTTTGATGTTGCTTCTAAGCATGAAATAACGCCGGATAAATTCTGTACATGGGAATGGAATTTCAAATGGTCCATATGAGCCTATTGTAGGCGCGAAATTCGCGATATTCCTTCCTTCAATTTCGTTTTCATTTTTATCCATTTTCTGTGATATTATTTTTCACCATTTTAAGTGTGGCAATTAATGTGGGGTTTCACAATGTCCTTTTGTCTGATTGTAAAATGTTGTTATATGAATGTTATCACTGTATAAGTGCGTTCATGTAGTTGCTTCAAACACGTTTATTTCATGTCATTTTCAGACACTGACGTTTTTGCATTCAACAATTATCCTACCTAATGATGAATGATTATGTCAATAATATTGAACCAGAGAACACAAAGTATTCGTTATTTCAGTCACATTCAAGATCATGTACTGCTATGGAAACCGAAGTGGAGGTATTTTTGTGACAAATGCGTTATCTTATATGCCTTCATAGATAACAGCCATGTGTTCATTTTCAGACTTACTGTTTATTGGAACAAGCAAGGGGTATGTTGTTCAGTATTGCTGTTTTCTATCATAACTAAAGTTTAGTATCCCAGTTAATTATTCAAGAGTTGTATGACGATAAAACATCATTTTGTTTCAGTAATGTTCTATCAAGGAGAATATTTGTAAATCTCTGATTTGTTTTTATGTTATAACCTAATCAGACCAAACCGATTTCAAGGCTTGAAACTTCTTCCAAAAAAACTACACTTTCTATTTTCAGTGATGAAAATCTTATCTTATGTAACGCTGAAAAGCTTGAGGTATGAAAATAGACTTTGTAAAACCTTTTTTATTGTTTTTAGATCATAAATTTTATTCCATCTTTTAAAGGTGTTTCATCATTCCAGTTGTGCTCTTTCGATGATGAGAAAGAGAAGGTATTTTAATAATTTTCAAATTCGAATTAATGGTGTGCATAATTATTACGTTAATTTAGCTGTGCATAGGATTTAAATCGGGTTTAATCCAACTACATCATATTTTTGTATCGACATGTATGCTTGTTTTTGAGACCAAGTTAACAGAAGTATCACTGTCTCTTGTAAATTCATACTATTTTTGCTTGATTTAGTGACTTTCTTTAGTGCATCTCACCACAATTTTTATGTGTCGCATCGGACAGTAGTTACATATCAATAAATTTACGTACAAACGTTACTACAGAGTTATTACGCTCAGTAAAAGAACCAGTACGAAATTACATAGCTTATTTTACTCAGGTTTGTTAGAACGCTAATGTTTTCTTACAAAAATTCAATACTTGCAGAATGAATTTATTGTTTCTGGTCCAGGATCATTGGGTATTATTGTCGATGCTAATGGTGTATCTCACCGTGCACCACTTCAGTTATCATCAAATATAGTAGAAGTTTTTGTGTGGAAAAATTATTTCTTCACTATTACTGACGAATTTTTTACCATTCACAAGTATGTGTAACTTTTAAATTTTTATTAATTCTTTATCATCTCATATAATTTATTTGTAAGTCTAAAAATATTTCTGACTACGACCTGCTACAACAATGTTTTAAACCAAGTTTTATGTTTCGTAACAGTGTATTCAAGCGGAGTCAATTCGATGATCTTAAAATAAATACATGTAAATAACAAAGTATTCAATTATCGGAACCAGAAGAAATGAGCGGAATAACTTTAAGAGTAAGGAACATCTACATGCATAAGCTAAATTCTCGGCTTAATTTATGTCATTTAAGTGTGCTCCTGTGCTAGATTTGCCATTCCGTTTATCTCCTTGTTATGTAGAACCACTGAGATTGCAGTAGGTGATAAAACTGTGTCAACACAGACTGCTAATCGATGATATATAAGTTTATATCTTCCATATTCATGTTATTACATGTTCTGAATAACCCTACCATACAGATCATTCCGTTGTCGCACCAGTCTGCATAAACCGTCCAACCATTTTTATTTTTTCTATGTTGGTTAAAAATGTATGCGAAGACTTGCAATTATGTTAATTAATAATCCTTTGGAGTCAGTTTTTTTTCTCTGATATTATTGCAACTGAGTGAGACATTATTTTACTACTTGGGAACAATCCTATTTCTTATCGATTTCTGTTTTCCAGTATAATACATTCTTTATTATCATCTCAATTTTCTGAGTCATCAGATTCCAGCAGTAAAATAAAATAAACTGAACAGTGGATGCTAGTTCCAATAATCATCGTACTTACCATTGAGGTAGTTGGACATATTGAGTAACTATTTGCTTTTTATTACATACCTATAATCAGTAACTTTTAGAAAACCTCTCTGAAGTTGATCACTTATGCTCTTAGAAGCGTTTTATTGAAATTCCAAGTTCCATGAAACTAAGGTAAACGCCATATCAATCATACAAAATAAATAGAGTTATAAGATTAACAGTGTTATATTTTTATAAGATTTAGTTTCTGAACATAAGAATCATGAAAATAGCTCGTATGCTTTTATCTTTAAATGAAATTATAAACTGCTGGCGTAAAACGTATGTAAAAGTAGCTTGAATGTATCACTTTTCAATAGAGTGATGGGATGATGGTTAACAATCAAGTTTCAAACCTAAACCTACTTCGTCTAATCCGGTTTGGGAAACAAAAAATATTCGTTCTGGAATGAGAAACATACTTTTTAGCTATTTTCCTATAAAGGTAGGGATTTACCCAGTCTTGAAAATATATCAAATATAACCGTTGCGCAGGGATTTTTGTCCGATGATGCAATAATTATATCCCATAAATCTGCTATACAGACACTAGGGGAACTCATTCATAATTACTTACTTGATCTTACAGGATTAGGATGATACATAAACTCATTTGGAGAAAGCACATCGTCAGATTTCATTTGTAGTTAGATGAAATATAACCTGACAAAGTTTATTGTAAAAGGCATTTTTCTATTGTTTTTACTCAAATAAAGACTGTACGCCTAGAACTCTATTTTTTAAATATTTGACAATAAATAATTTGCAGCTGTGGCTTAGTGGTTAAGACACTCAACTTTCAGTCATTAATTCACAGTTTTGAACCCCACTTCATCTACCTCAGTTTGGAGAACTACATATTGTCCATTTCCCTCACATGTTTTTGTGGATCAAATCCACGTACCTTGTAAATGAGTTAAATTGTTGTTATTATTAGTAATTATCTTTCTAAGAAATGTTCAACGAAATAAAAATATCTTATTTTTGTATCATTGTAAAATCACTTCATTGTCTGAATGCCTTTATATCAAATAAAATTTTATGTTTTACTGAGTTACTTGACACTAAGGTTAGAGATGTTATGCCATTCTGATAGGTAATATTTATTGATAAGTTAACTCCTTTATGGATGAACGTCTGGTGATGTACAATGAAATACTGGTACTTCTGCCAAAGATTATGAATTCTTTTTGCACATCTTTTCAGTTTTTCAATGACTATTTACGAAATATCACTACAATTAGGAATATTGCCAATAGAAAATAGAATTATTTTAGATTTGACTGAGGAATTTTTAGAGTTTTAATTAATTTTATTAAAACGATATCAGACCGTAGTCTTTTGCATTTTACGCTTGAAATTGTTAATGAAAATGTAGATGAGACTGTTCTATCAATTATCATAGTATTAGCAACCTTCTCATCCTAATCTCACACTCCTCAAACTAACATACCTGTCACTCTCCTATTATTTTAGCATCTTAACACAATCCCAGATACAAACAATAAATCTTCAAAAGCCATCTGTAGCTTGTTTTTCTGCTGACGCTCATTTGTTATACTTTACTGAAACATCTGACTTTAATACTGATACCGCATCCATCAAAAATATTCAAGTCTTAGGACCAGAACGTTGGGATTTGATTGCACGCAGGTTCATCTTAACCGGTTGTCTTAAACAAGCTTTTCATGTACAACAACAGGAACGAAATCGTCTTACTCAAGTCATGCAGTCGCAAGTTGAGAAATTCAAACATGAACAACAATTATTCGATAAGGTAAATTTATAATTAGACTCAATTTTGTTGTAAGCTGTCATTTATCAATATATTGTTAGATAATTCGTGATTTTTCTTTTTGATACAGTTTTATTATGCTTTCTGGATTTTAAATCTTTTAAACTATGTGTATCATTATTAACATAGTAACTAAAGCAACCGTGCTTCACAATATATCAATCTATTCAATTCATGGTTATGCGATTAGGTTGACTAATATTTTAGCTCAAATCTGGGAGTTGGACGTAATCCCAACTGACTGGTCGCAATCACTGATTATCCCAATATATGAGAAGGAGTCAAAATCATCCTGTGATAACCATAGAGGAATTATTTTGAATAATATAGCATCCATAATACTAGCCTCAATAATTATCGGGCACCTAACAAAGAATCGTGAACTGCAAACACGAGGAAATCAGGCTGCCTTTTGATCTGGTCGTGGCTGTATCGACGACATATTCACTATTCGTCAGGTTTTAGAACACAGACATGCTTATCGGCGTCCGACAATGATAGTTCTTCTTGACTTAAAAGCAGCATTTGACTCTGTAGACCGAGAGGCTCTGTGGTATTGTCTGTCATTGAAATGCATACCTCAGAAGTACATAAACCATGTGAAGGCTCTTTACTCGAACACTACCAGTCGAGTCAGAGCTAATGACGAACTGTCATCTGATTTTGCAATCTCAAGTGGTGTCCGTCAAGGCTGTCCACTATCCCCATTTTTGTTTAACTTCATTAAAGACCTTTTGCTGGAAATAACGTTCTCGTCAACTGAATTTTCGGGCATTGATCTACTTCCAAGAGGTCTGCTTATCGGCTTAGAATACACAGATGACATAGTCCTGTTTGGTGAAGACGCTGATAAAATGCTGAGTCTTTTGGTAGCATAGAGGAACAATGCAAGGATGTTTGGGATGTGTTTTTGCCCCTCTAAATGTAAATTGTTACTCCAGGACTGGCCTGCGTCAACACCTGAACTAAGGATAGGGAGTGAAGTAGTCGAACGCGTCGACAACTTCATTGATCATATATATATATATATATCCGATTGTACAGCTTGATAATAGATTCGTTGGGAAGGGATCCCTTCACTGAACTTTGTGTTTTTAATTTTTATTGTTTAAATAGGAATTATCTGTCAACAATACAATTTCCTATATTTTACTTTTCCAGAGACGTCAACGAGTACTTGGACTTTTAGGATTTTATCATTTCGAAAAGGGTGAACTAGATAAAGCAGCTTCCTACTTTGAACAAAGCACAATAGACATACGTGAAGTGAATTACTTCTCCTTATATTATCCTTTTATTATGATTATGATTATTATTATTGTATTTAAAATGGTCCTTATTTTAGTGTATTGATAATTAGCCTATTAAGCTGTGATCTGTGGAGTTAATTATATCAGGAATAAGGCACTTATTGTCATTCCATAAGTAGATCGACTGAAGTCGTGACTAATTGTATACTACCACTAAATTGCAACTCAGTGGTATAAATGTCACAAACTCAAGTGAAACAGCTTTTTCATCTCTTCTGTTTTTTCTAATGTTTTTTTTCAGCTAAAATCAGTCCGTATTACAGACTCTTCAAATAAATGATGCACTTATTTAGAACGTAACCTACTACGTTTTATTACACATTTAATATTTAGTCTATTACAGTAAACTGTAATGGGATATATTCTTTCTGGAGTGGTCGATCAGTGGCGAAGACACTTAGGTTTTAACTGATAGATAGAAGTATGGAAACCTACTCAATCTACTTCGATCTAAACAAACTAGCACTCACAAATACAGTATAGCCCAAAGCTGAGTGAATAAACTTATTATTGGTTAGAAGGTAAATATTACATTGTTTCTTATTTGATCAGAGAGTTTATCCATCAATTCGATATCAAACAAACATAAACTCGTGTGATCCCTAGCCTCAACATATTATTTAGCACTAGAAGCAATAAGTTGTTTTGAATTTAATCGGTGAACTTTAACGTCACAGCCTGCATATCCACATTTGTATTCGGTTGTTGAACTCCACTAATCCTTAGTATTATTATCAAAATTCAGATATCATAATACTGCAGTTTTTTTGACATTGAGTGGAGTACTTCAGTTTATCAGTACATATCACTTATGATGTTTATTGGGTTATGACACCAATCAAGACTTGTAAACATAGGTTTATGAACGGTTGTACATAATTATTAACGCAACTTACTTACTTACTTACTTACTTTCGCCTGTTACTCCCAATGGAGCATAGGCCGCCGACCAGCTTTCTCCAACCCACTCTGTCCTGGGCCTTCTTTTCTAGTTCTTTCCAGTTCTTGTTCATTCTTCTCATGTCTGTCTCTATTTCTCGGCGTAATGTGTTCTTTGGTCTTCCTCTTCTCCTTCGACCTTCAGGATTCCATGTGAGGGCTTGTCTTGTGACACAATTGGGTGATTTCCTCAAAGTGTGCCCAATCCACTTCCAGCGCTTCTTCCTGATTTCTTCCTCCGCTGGAATCTGGTTTGTTCTCTCCCACAGTAACTTGTTGCTGATAGTGTCTGGCCATCGGATCCGAAGTATCTTGCGTAGACAGCTGTTAATAAACACTTGTATCTTCTGGATAATGGCTTTCGTAGTTCTCCACGTCTCTGCCCCATACAGAAGAACTGTCTTGACATTTGTATTGAAAATTCTAACCTTGGTGTTGGTTGACAATTGTTTTGAGCTCCAGATGTTTTTCAGCTGTAGGTATGCTGCTCTTGCTTTGCCGATCCTCGCCCTCACATCTGCATCTGATCCACCGTGTTCATCAATGATGCTGCCCAGATATGTAAAGATTTCCACATCCTCCAAAGCTTCTCCGTCAAGTGTAATTGGATTGGTGCATATTGTATTGTATCGGAGAGTCTTGCTTTTCCCTTTGTTTATATTGAGACCTACTGTTGCTGAGGCTGCTGCTACACTGGTCGTTTTCTCCTGCATTTGTTGTTGCGTTTGTGATAGAAGAGCCAGATCATCCGCGAAGTCTAAATCGTCAAGCTGCATCCTGCCTGTCCACTGTATCCCGTGCATTCCTCCAGATGTTGACGTCTTCATAATCCAGTCGATCACCAGGAGAAAGAGAAAGGGTGAGAGTAAGCAACCTTGCCTAACACCGGTCTTTACCTCGAACGAGTCGGTGAGTTGTCCTCCGTGGACGATTTGGCAGTTTAGTCCATCATAGGAGTTCCGTATGATATTTACTATCTTCTCAGGCACACCGTAGTGTCGAAGAAGCTTCCACAGTGTCGTCCTGTCCACGCTATCAAATGCCTTCTCGTAGTCGATGAAGTTGATGTAGAGTGATGAATTCCATTCGATTGATTGTTCCACAATGATACGTAGAGTTGCGATTTGATCTGTGCACGATCTATCCTTACGAAATCCAGCTTGTTGATCTCGAAGTTGAGCGTCCACTGAATCCTTCATCCTGTTTAACAATACTCTGTTGAAGACTTTTCCTGGTATTGAGAGGAGAGTGATGCCTCTGTAGTTGTCGCACTTGCTCAGATCGCCTTTCTTTGGTATCTTGATGAGAAGTCCTTCTTTCCAGTCTGTTGGTACATGTTCTTCGTCCCAAATCTTACCGAAGAGGATGTGGAGTATCTTGGCAGTTGCTGTTACATTTGCTTTCAGTGCCTCTGCCGGGATGTTGTCTGGTCCCGCTGCTTTGCCACTCTTGATTTGTCTAATGGCCATGCTGATCTCTTCAATTGTTGGTGGGCCAATATCGATTGGGAGGTCTGTGGGTGCTGCTTCGATGTTGGGTGGGTTCAGTGGGGCTGGTCGATTCAAGAGTTCTTTGAAGTGTTCTACCCACCTGTTTCGTTGTTCTTCAATATCGTTGATTACTTTGCCTTCCTTGTTTTTCACTGGTCTTTCTGGTTGACGGTAATTTCCAGCAAGTTTCTTTGTTGTATCATACAGTTGTCTCATGTTTCCCTCTCTTGCAGCCTTTTCCGCTGTCATCGCTAAATCTTCCACATATTTACGTCGGTCAGTCCTGATGCTCCTCTTCACTTGCTTGTTTGCCTCTGTGTATTCAGCTTGTGCCTTGGCTTTTTCTGCTCTTGTTCAGCTGATATTGATTGCTACCTTCTTGTTCCTCCTTGCTTCAATTTTATCCAGTGTACCAACAGTGATCCATTCCTTGTGATGGTGCTTCTTTTGGCCCAGAACCTCCTGACATGTTGAAACGATTGCCTCCTTGATACCTTTCCAGCTGCTCTCTATGGTCGTTCCCTCTTCATTGAGTAGGTTATGAAAGGCCTGGAACCTGTTGCTGAGGGCTATGTTAAATTCGTTGAGTTTGTCAGCATCTCGAAGAAAGGCCGTGTTAAACTTTTGTGATGTTGTCCGCGCCATTGTCCAGTGCTTCTTGAGTTTTAGTTTCATCTTGGCGACCAGCAAATGATGATCGGATGCTATATCAGCTCCTCTCCTGGTTCTCACATCCTCCATCGTCCTCCTGAACTTTTTGTTGATGCAGACATGGTCGATTTGATTCTGTGTAGTGTGATCCGGTGAAATCCAAGTGGCTTTGTGTATGTTTTTGTGTGGGAATATGGTGCCACCTATGACCAGTTTATTGAAGGCACATAGGTTTGCAAATCTCTCACCGTTTTCGTTCCTTCCTCCCAGTCCATGTTGTCCCATGACGTATTCGTATCCAGTGTTGTCCTTTCCAACCTTGGCATTGAAATCTCCCATTAGAATGGTCAGGTCCTTGGTTGGGCACTTCTCGAAGATTGACTGCAGCCTATCGTAGAATTGGTTTTTAGCGTCTTCATCGTAGTCGTTGGTCGGCGCATAGCATTGGATGATGTTCATTGTAATGCCCTCTCTCTTTGTTCTGAAGGAGGCTTTGATGATCCTCGGTCCATGAGATTCCCATCATATAAGCGCATTTTGTGCTTTTCTAGACAGCATCAGTGCCACTCCTTGTGTATGTGGGGCATTTTCTTCTTCATGACCGGAGTATAACAGAAGTTCCCCTGAAGACAGTCGTTGTTGTCCAACCTGCGTCCAATGTGTTTCACTGATTCCAAGCACTTCCAGGTTGTATTTCCTCATTTCCGCAGAAATTTGGAAGACTTTGCCGGTCTCCCACATTGTCCGGACATTCCATGTACCTATAAAAATTGTCGCTCTGGTTGTAAGAAGGTGCATCGGCCTCATGACTTCCGAAGGAACTCGGCTTTCATCATGAGACGTCATTTTTCCTTCTACTCCCAGGGCAGAGTTTGAATGGTTTGAATGAATTTTTCTGGTTAGCGTTTTTTTAGCGAGTTGATTTTCTACGGGATGGGGTCGCTAACCCCATGCCCAACCCTCCTCCTTTACCCGGGCTTGGGACCGGCAGTAGCCCCTGGAGGAGCTATAGGCGGAGTTATTAACGCAACTTGCCTCTATTTATATATTACAATTTATTTACTGCTTAGGATGTGAAAATTAAAAAAACGTTTGTTTATTTCTTCTTTTCTGTAATCAGATCCTTTTCCGGTATTCCGATCTCTTGCCAAAAGGTTGTTATTTTATGCCTAATTGGTTCTACAAACTGCATCAGACCAATCCGGAACCTAGTCATGACAATAACAACGGTGATACTCAAACATCTGGAATTAATTTAACTAGTGATTTGTGCATTTTAAGAGCTGCAGAAGATTCAGACAACGATGATCATGATCTAATAATTAGTTCATCATGGTTATTAAGATATCAAGAATTCCTTTTCAACTTTTTGCGTAAACATCATAAAAGTAAATTTGTTGAGAAGTATTTACATGTGAGTATAATTGAATCTGTCATTACTGTCATCTCCTCGCTTGTTAAATACATTTTCACATCATCAGTTTTAAATACTATTGAGTTGTGATGTAATGGGTTCACAAATAGACATTGAATTGCAAACCGATTAGTTTGAACTGAACGTAATATACTTTGGCTTCTTCAGTTAATGGCTTTAATCATCACCCAGTAAGTTCAGTCCGCAAATCATAGTGCAATTGTAGAAGAATATGGAATCGGTTACTAACTGGTTATTCCATCTCCAATCATCGATAATTTTCATAAAAGTTTAAAGAAATTAACTGTTAGTAAAAGTTGCATAAATTTAAAGTACATTACACAGGGGAATTTTCAAAATCTACTGCTACTACTTATTACCTATAATCCAGTTTGTTTGGGAAGACATTTTGCCTCATAAAACTCAATAGTTATCCAAGAATTTACATTAACACTTCTTGAAAATCAGTCAACTCTTTTAATCACACGACATCTATAAATTGGTGTGGACTGCTAACAGAAACAGTTATTCAATTCAGGTGTTGTGTTCTATGAGCTGGATGATTTAGTGGTAAAGCTTTGTCTGCAGTATTCGTCTTCTGGAGTAGCTGGAGCTAGGAGAGAAAAAGGAACTGTGATACCTAATTGGCGTAATCGTTTCAAGGAGTTACTGTGATTAGTTCAAGAAAAATCAGTTATATATCTAAATCTCACTCATGTACTGCGGCTTTAATATTACCGATATTTCTTATGGGGTAGTTGTGCAATATGTTGTAGTACACTGACATGTGTGTGATTATTGATCTTTGAAGATATTTACCAGTAAACCGAGCGTTTAAAGTTTTTAACTGTTATCTTTATCATTGTCTGAGTTGCCTTATTTGATACTTTTACAGTATGTTTTACTCTTTCAGTTTGTAGAAACTGCCTTAGTTAAACTGTACGTTCGATTACAACAGGCTGGTATTCAACCATATCTCTATGAATTAATCATTGATACAACGTCTTCTAGTGATTCTCGGTCAGGTGAAAGTGGTCTCACTAAGTCAACTAGTAATAGTGATCAAGGTTTAGTTGATCTGATTTCAAGCTTGATACACATTGACGTGGAAGATTTAACTGTCTACTTAGAAAATAATAATGCCTACCATGCTTTGGCGCTTATTTATCGTTGGCAAGGTAACCTTTCAGGTGCATTGGAAATATGGCGAAAGTAAGTAGGGGTAGTGATAGCATTTCATTCGTTTTCTTGATTAACTTGTATATTTACTTCCTTATGTCTATAAGTGAGATTTTTCTATACATATGATGCTGTGATTTACAGCATTCCAGTTTCCCGAATAACAAAATTAATTGTTATTAAAAATTGACTTTTAACTGCAGATCTCTTTTCGAATATCTACTGCTTTTGCAGATAATATCGTAATACTTTGAAGTGGTATACAGATTACCTAAATCATACTTAATCAGTATATATTAATACATAATAATAACCCACAAATTAGCCGTAGAAGTTACCACTTCTTTAGTCCTTCGGATATAACAACTAAAATACAAATGAAAGAATTTATAGTTTCTGAATAAACAACGATTCAACTGTAGCGACTATTGAATTTTTTTCTGTTTTGTTTATCGTAACACTTTGTTTTTCATGTCCATGTTGAGTGTCTCTTAGTTCTACTCAAAAGTGGAATGAATTTACACGTAGTACGTTTAAAGAAAATTTTTTATTCTATCTGTTTTTTATAGCTCATCTTTTCTTTTTTTTTCGAATACATACATTAATATGAATAAGTAAAATATACTTCAAAATATGTTAGTTAAATTCTTACATTCTTGTAATTTATTTTTAGACTAGTTTACAATGAGCTAAATGATTCAAGTTTTCCAGGAGTAGAATTTTATATTTCTATACTATTGGAGTAAGTTTAAAATGTTTATATTCCTTGTTTTCAGTCAGTCAGTTACAACGTAGAACTTCGTACGTACGTACATCAGTTCGAGTTGCCATACCACATTAGCACAGAGATGAAGTTGTCGATTCAAACCCCATAGTGGTAGAAGTAGTAATAGTATAAGCATTATGTGAAAGATTAGGGTTTGAAAATGTTATTGAAGGAGTATAATCCAGTGAAATAAATTTGGAAAGAGAAAAAGGATACGGACATGAAGAATTCAGAAGATTAGAATTTGGTAGAACACAAAGAGTGTATGCACCTTCGCCATTGCAAACGATTTTGAGCCATGTCATTCAAGGTCTCTAACCATCGGTTGTTATAATCTCGCTAGTCCCAACCAGGTAGTCTACACCTACCAACATGGCTCAGTTCACTTGTCAGCGACTTAATGGATTTGTGCCATGTTTTGGTCTGGCCGCCGGAGACGGAAATCCGTGGGATAAGGCGAGGTGTGCATTTTTAGGGTCGACCTTTTCTAACCCCACCCCTCCTTGTGGGAAGACAGCATCGCTGTTATGCTGGTTGTCTGGAGGAAACACCTTACTACCGTCACACCTCTGTACAGTCGGCAGTGCGACTTCGCCTTCGGATCTTGGGATTTCCGCTTTTAGTCTTACCGCTCTTCAACCGACCTGCCTGGAATGTTAGGACCTTGAGGAATAATTGTTCCAGCCAATTTAGCTCGATTGGTTCATCACGATAGGCAAGCTCGACCACCACGTCAAGGTAGCAGCAACGGTAGGGATATTTCTTGTTAACATATTTCTTGTTTTACTCATTATTTGCATTATATTGTTTATGTATTTTAATGAAATATATGAAGGTAATCATTCATACTTTGAAACATTTTATTATACATTAGATAATGACATACGAGATATCAGAAGCTAGTCGACTGTAATATGTTTTTCTTTATATGAAGTCAGTCAAACTTATTCATCGAATATGTTTTTAATAAAACTTAATTTTCTATTCGGGAATTTTTCTAGCATAGTAAAATCAATAACTGATAGGAAATCTAAGTGACTGTGAACTTTTCAGTTTCATTAATATGCATTGATTGTTCAAGTAACCTTTATAAGTTTCTCTGACTAGAAAATTAAACCCTGCTTTTTTATTCGTAAGCTACCTACTTACTTACGCCTATTACCCCTCGTGGAGGAACACAGGCATAGGCCACTCACCAGGATTTTCCACTGAGCTCTGTTCTCTGCTCTTCTTTTTACTTGTTTTCAATTGCTATTCATTCTATTGACATCTGCCTCCAATTTCATGCTCGGTGTGTTCCTTGATCTTCCCTTCAGGATTCCGAGTTAGCACTTGCCTCGTGATGCCGTTTGATGATTTCTTCAATGTATGTCCTATCCACTTCCATCGTTTTTCCTAATTATCCCTTCAGTTAGAAGCTTGCTTGTTCTCTTCCACAGTAAGTTGTTGCTGATGGTATTCGGCCAACGGAAGCTGAGTATCTTGCGTAGACAACTGTTTATAAATACTTGTGCTTTTTTGATGATGTTTGGAGCAGTTCTCCTAGTTTCAGCTCCATACAGTAAGACTGTCTTGATGTTCGTATTGAAGATTGTGACCTTGATATTGGTCGACAGTTGTTTTGAGTTCGATATGTTCTTCAACTGTAGGAATCTTGTCCTTTGCCAATCCTTGCCTCTACGTCTGAATTCGATCATCCTTGTTCATCGATGATGCTGCTTCCCGGGTACGTGAAAGTTTCTACCTCTTCATAAGTTACGTGATAATAATTATCATTATTATCATATAACATGAAAGACAGTTAAAGGACATTTGAGAATAAAATCATGCTTCTGTTCTCCATATTAATATCTGTTTCATGTAGCCAGTAATCTAGCATCAATTGTATAACATACTATTATGTTTGTACATTTACTTATTTTGTAACCTTTGTAAACTAAGAATTTTTTCTCTAGAACAACATTTTTGAATCTACTAATCATTATGAAGAATCTTATCCCAAAACATACACATTTCTTTTTGCTTTGGAATGAGAAGTAGTTGAATACTATCTGATGACTGGGACTGATAAAATGTAACATCTTTCTTCATGATTACTGATAGCACTTGACTAGTGTTTCATTCGTCCTGACTACTTGTGTACTAAGTTTGAGTCTTTCCAAAAGATCCAACTGATGCGATAGGAAGGAGTATGGGATTATTTGTTGATTTATGAACGTTATATTCCTTCATTTACCATTTGTTATGTGATAATTATCTCAGACATACTCTGTTAATTTAATGCTTTGCATAAAAATAGATTTCATAGTTTTATATATCCGGGTTCATTAGTAATATGACTGCATAAGATGACACTATTTAGGTCAACATTTTAAGTATCAATTCATGATGGATCTTGGCCAGAGCGACAGGTGTGAACTTCGTTCAGCGTGGCATTTTAATGTTGTTATTTTTTGTATCAACTCAGTATAATTTTATTTTATTTATTTAATCACATGCATATTGGTATAAAGGGCACCGGATACATATGCGCCACACACATTTCATTTATTTGTGTGAGGGCTGTGATACTGCCCGAGTGCCCAAACCGAAGCAGGTGGTTTTCTTAGGGGACCACACCTCGAGCCTTTGATCTAAAGGTCTAATCCACAAGACAGTGGAGCATCGTGAGGAGATGCAGTCCCATGGTAGCCGGTGACCAACAGTTGGTTCATACGCCATTCGTTCCATCAGGATCCTGGAGCCCATGTGCACCATTGGTTTGGAATCAGGGTTTTCCAACTCCCCTAGGTGGACTCACCTTGTCCACCAACCCGGTTAAAGCGCTGGACATTCGCTTTTCGTCCTCTCAATTTCATAAACAACAGTAATGCCACGAGAAGGCAGTGAGTGGGACTTCCCTGTCTGGGGCTATATACGCGTGGCCATGTGAGAGCATTTCGAGAGGGAGTGGACTCTCCCCACTCTCTGCCGTACCAGGGCATTTGGAGGCAAAGAAACTCAGTATAAACTTCGTTTGATATGATGAGTGTGAACTCTCGTTTGGTGTGACATATTTCTTGTACGAATTCCGGTGAACTGCATTATGTGTGTTTTTACAATAACTCTATTTCCCCCTATATGTATATAAAATTTAATGTATAAATGATTGTATTTCGGTCTATAGATAACGTGGTTTTGGGACATATTTGGAGATGTTTTTAGTGAGCCAATAAGTCTTCATTCCATCAGTCTAGGACTGCGGACCCAACAGTCGTCACGCACATGACGACACCCCGAGAAATGGAAGAGGTGACACGCCAGACATAACAGAGGGGCCCTTGAGATATAACAGTCACAACCCGTATGCAACACTCAACTCTGCCTTCCGATAGCTGTTCATTCGGGGTACTGGAATCGGTTCGGTTTGTCGAAATCACTAATTCAATCCTCTAAGCCATTTCGTTGTTAAGTTGTACTGTTATACACTAAATGGATGTTTACCGGATGTAAAAAATTAAATCGACTAAAATATTTGAAATTTAACAAAAGTCTTTGTAGATTCATGTTTTTTATAATAGCACTATGATTCGGAATTCATGATATATTTTAACACCACTTATTTTGTTTGATTCTATATGAATGAAGGTTAATAATGTTGCTTTTACCTACTTAACCGTGTTTTACATTCTAGCCTATCCGCGCATGATCCAACTGACTCTCAGAAACAATCACCTTATAAGGGAGTGGCTATTCATTCATCAAGTGATGTAAATTATGAATTTTCTGTCTATGCCGAATTAGTATGGAATCATTTTATGCAAGCTTTAAGAACTAATCATGAGGTTATAGCTGAACAGCTCATGCTGCGCTTTCCTATTCCCTCAAGTTATATTAATTCATCATGTGAATTGTCTATTATTAGTGACAGTACAATCGAGACTTCTTTGGAAAGTAGCCTTGCGCCATCCCAAATTTTATCACCTAATCATATTATTCAAAGTCTTATTTCTTCATATCCAAATATGACAATGACTTATTTGAAACATTTATGTTCTTCTCTTCCCAATTGTGTAAGTCATCTGATCTATTGTAAATGACTGATCATGGAAAAATCTCAGAATCCACAATTGGTATACTTAGCTTTGTTTTTATGGGATTTATTGCATTTAGCACGTCTTCTATTGCTTGAGATTTTTGAAGTATAAACCTTTCTGTAAAGTTGCACTGATATTTGTGATGTTCTTTTGGATGGAAACAATAGTATGGAAGGTCGAACTATATATGTGCTTGTGTGCACTGTTACAGCAACCGTCCAACAACAAATCTCGATTATGGTTAATTTTGGGTAAGCCCTTTTGGATGGGGAAAAGAAACCTATTGCGGAGCTAGTATGACGATGTACTTTGACTTTTTGACAATTCATGCATGCCTATATCCAATTACGCACATCACGATTCATGTGTGTCCATACGAAGCGTTCGCTGATTAGCTTCATCGTGGCTTTCATTCCCGAATACGAAATGTTGTGAATACTTCCAAATACCTTCTGTCGCGATAGTTTTGGGATTAATGGTCGCAGTCGGTCTGTCAACATATCTCTATTGCGCTAAAAAAAGGAACATTTTCGAATATCAATGATGTCGTGTCATCGGATCTCAGATTCCTTAACTCAATGTCCGTCGCTTGCAACTTCGCCAGACAGCGACAATTGATTCCACTTGTAATAAGAGTTTATCGTTGTTCTTTATAGTGCGTAATCTGCTTCGTTTTGTTGGCCTTTAATATAACATATATTGAACGTAAACTGAGAAATAAATTATAACAGATGGATTTCGTTCGGAGAATAATTATTATCGTTTACACTTAATCCTTTCGTGAGGGGTTTGTGGCCCATGTACACAGTAAAATTTGTATCTTCTACCGGTATGGTACATAAGCAACCGTACGTGGTTGGTATAGATTTATTTAGTATGAAGTTGGTTTCTTCTCAGCTTCAGAATCTTCGGAATCCGAGGCCCATTGGATTTCTCCTCTATTCAGTTTTGGAATTTCTCTTCTACCCTACAAAGCGTCCTATTGAAGACCTTCAGGTTTTTCAGTGAGCTCATTACCTTTGTGTTTTGATTCATTGATTTGATGGTTGAAACTAGTTAGTGTCAATCTGTGGCAGAAATAATTTTCTAATTAGAAGGAAATACGTTTATTGTTATTTCAGTCTTTAGAATAGTTTTTATTGCAGGTCCTCATGATAAACGTAAGATTTGAGTTGTATTGATGCTGCTATACAGTCGAAACATTGTTGTTTTTAGAATTATATATTTCCGCGTGTTAAATATATCGATCTTATACTATACTACTATGGTTACGCCACAAAGTTTGTAATTTAATGATATATAACATTCCTCTTTACTATGAAACACAATTATTACTTATTTTGTTGTTATCTTCACTTCAAATGCAATCCTACTTCCACTTTTTATAATGATCTTCGTCTATCTACTTTGTATTTTAGCACCCAGAAAATCATAATCTGTTAGGCAAACTTTATTTAAATACTCTATTAATGAAGTTAAAAAGCACTGACAATTTATTTGATGATGACATGAAAAAACGAATTCGTGAACTGAGGTAACCCTTCTTTTATTTCTTTGAGTTTATTTACTAAAAAATCATAACACTTACTAGTTAAGTACTTCAATAATAGTATCAAAGAATTGATTGACCATCAACGGAAATGTTATGATCGATTGTGAATTCCACTGCCTTTTGCCAGCAAGATGTATTGTAAATTGGTTTACCGAAACATATTCTTAAGTGATAAAAACCAGTGGCAGTAATATTGATACTTGGAGATAAATTTGAAATCACATTCTTTTTATGCATAGACAGTCTTTATACAATCGCTTATTTTCCTAATTATTCTATTATTATTCATCAGGTCGGCTTAAAACAATATTGTTATTGTGAGTAATCTGTTGTGGTATTAACTGGCGAGTGGAAGTGGTGTGTAAGATGATAATTCAATAATGATGCAACTCAGTAATCAAGTTAAAATTTATGAATTTGTCTCTGTGTATTAGTTACTGATACTACAGAGTTGAGGTGGAAATTTACCGACTGACATTTCGGCGCTCCAAAGGAACCAAAAGCAGTCAATGGATCATTATTCTAGTGAATAATAACGAAGTTTTAAAAATAATTGTAATGACTTACCGATTAAGCCATTTATCAAATTGCTTCACCTTTGAAAACAAGTTTTAACCTTTGAGAAGTTTCTGGCAATATTCACTCGGTAACCTAATAAGTAAAACTCTGACGTTTGAAGTTATGTTTACCATGTTCACGTCTCAATGAACAAGTTAGCTTGCTGAAATGTGGGCGAGTGAACCATACACAGTTTTTTTCTCACTTTGAAGAGATCAAAAACAAAGATTTGAGAGAAATAACATGGACTTATTTCATTTCGTTTGGTTCTTATCAGCGGCTTACAACCTTTAATATTTAAAAATCATAATGACAAAATGGGTTCAAATTGTTTATATGATGGAGTTTGGTTGGAATTTTTTATGTTCATTTACCAATGTAGTATAACAAGGATGTAAATGAGCTTAGTAAACTAAATAAAATATTGTTAATATGTTTCTAATTTGAAGAAACGTTCTACAACACTAATAGTAGTGAAAGACCAGGAATCTATAAACAAGTGGTTGCCTAATGAACAAATGCTGATCGTAAGTAAGAATAGAATGAGTAAAGCTCAGTTATTCAATAAATAAAATGAATTCATGTTATTCTTGTCAAATCTTTGTTCTTGCTCTCTTCAGAATTCAAATGAATTGATTACTCAACACACTATGTTTGTATTTTTATTATGTTAGGGATGCTAGATCCCCAGAAATCAATTGGTAAACGTCTCATCTCTGTAATTTTGTTATAGAAATTTGAATTTCCCATTTCCGCGCTAAAAGCATCCATTTTCACCTTTAGCTTGTATTTTCCGCCAGGAAGGACTTTAAATGGGATTGGTTCGTTTTCTCTTTCATTACTCTAATTTGTGACGTTTTCCTAGGTCATTTTTGTACTGTATATATACTCATGAGTTGTATGCTTGTTCGTCCGTGCTTCCGGGTTGCTTGTCGAGTATGTATTCTCCCGACTGAATCTAAGTCTTCTCCCTCTAGTTAGCAGGGCTGTGGCACAGTGGAATAGCTTAACTTGTCCTGTATTTATGTTGCTGATTTTCTTTCTGTTCGCCCGTCCTAGGTGATATTATGATCTCAAACGTAGCATATTATTACAAATAGCATTTCGATGTTATCAAGTATTATTTAATCATAATAAATCTATACATGTGTGACAATGTAATTGTACAATAAGTCAATAATTTGATCGGATTAAGCATACCTTACTAATCTCTTTTTGAATATTTAGGGAGTTATTTTTTTTTAAATCCAAAATTTGGTTTTTCGATAATATATTCAAAAATGCTAATTATCATGTAATATGATAAAATCGTTTGTAAATGAGTAATTTTACAAGCGATATTAAAGATTATGAATGTAGCATATCGAATTTTTAACTACCTATGAACTATTTTTCGATTTCGCTCTGTAGAAGTAGACTTTTTTCTTCGTTTTTATCAACATAGTGATAATTCACACCTAGACATTAAATAAAATGATGAATAAAGCAAAGAAATGTTTCTTTTCAACTAGTTTTATTATGATTGTACACTTGACCATACACTAAGAATAAATTAAACTAGTCAAGTCGACCTGGGTTATATAGTAATATTTACAACTTTAAATGTGTTTAGAAATAATAGCGAATGATGAATAAAACACGTATAAGTTAGAGTGCATAAGGTGAACAATGTTTTAAGGTATTTATTGATAAATGAACAAATTACAATGTGCAGATAAAGGATTAATAATAATAGAATGGATGAAGTGTTTAATAAGAAAAAGTTGAGTATTAGTAACAGTTACTCAATGAAGAATTTGTAGGATCGGTAATAGGATTGACAAAGTATTTGACAAAAAGTTCAATATTAGTAATAACAGTCGGAATATGTAGCCGAAGGATTGTCGGGTAATAAAATTAATTAAGTATAAAGAAGAAACTTCAGAATTCAAGTAAGAAAACTCAAGTGGACAAGAATCGCGGAATTATGAAAAGTAGGCCCGTTCACTTTTATAGGACTTAATGTCGAAGTTAGAGAGGGGTTTTACATTCTTTTAGGTACAGGGGTCGGGTTTTTGGGATGTGGATTGCAATAGCTTCAACGGCTTCAAGAAGACAAACCCGTTAGCTATGTGCATAATTTCGGAAGCCATATTAAAGTCAACTTAATCTCATATGTAAACTAAATGAGTGAGAATAGAACTCATTATTATTATCAAATGTTCTTTGCTCACCCAGTCCAGATACTGTTCCATAACACTTTGATAGACAATAACACTAAAATTATGTGGCCCGCCTTGTCAGTCTGTTTTATATATGATCAGTTCCGTCTATCATACCACAGGAAAGCGAATAGTACAAATCCTGAAACTGTCACATCAAGATATTGTCTATTTCTTTCCATTTACAACTTCAAATTGTCTTCAATGTATTTTTGAAAATGACAGATTCACTATTTAGTTACTTATTATCTTATCAGTAGTTAGTCTGATGTTTACCTATATTTCTGAACTTTAAAATATAGAACTGAATTTTGCCAACTAATCCGTTATTCGTTATTGATATCACATAAAACATTACTGGACCGTTTACATAATGAGAGTGTTGAAGTTCAAAAGAAATTAGCTTATGAAATAGCGATTCTTGAGGGAAAGGTTAGTTAACGGTATTTTTAAAATGGTTCATTGGGTTTTTGTTGTTAATGGCAAGTTTTTGATACTATTTTTAAACGCTTACATCTCAAATTGTGAGCATTCCTGGAACTGTAATGCTCTGTTGGTTCAATTTTTTGTTGCCAGATCGTTTAGTGTGTGACAGAGCCTTGCTTGAGTGTTTTAAATATAGGCCCTTTTATTATTCGAGAATATCTCCAGTCCATTACACTTTCGTTATTGACATTTTGATACTATATATACCTTTCATGCCACAAGGCATAATTCAAAAACATATGATTAATCGATGGATTACATAAATAAAATCTTCCTTTCCACGTCATTCCACAAACTATCTTTAATAAAACTGCCTTACGTAAATTATCCTCTTAATTTCTGATAGGCTTAACAATTTTAGAAAACTTCACGAAATCAGTTCTATGGACGAGTGTTTTTAAGCAAGAATGGAGAATAAATTATGCAGTGGATTGCATTCATTTCATTCGCATATTCACTACTTTGTACCAATAAAGGAAATGTTTTATAGCTGTAATTGTAATATATAGATGGACGTTTTAAATGCGAATAAGACCATGATGTAATCGGGGATAAGAACCATTTGTAAGTTGTTTTGATTACGCTAGATAAAGTGGTGATATTGGCAGTAATTACCAAATAAAAACAATGTTGAATTGGTTATAACAGTGGAGACAATAGTACTGATAAGGATAACAATAATTGTGGGGCGTATGAGAAAATAAAAGCATATGGATGCTTATCCTGACAAACGGTCAAATATTTTATTGAATAATGTTTAAATGGAGATATGAGTTATAAAAACCACAAAGCAGAAATGAAAGCTGAAATAAAGTTGAATTATTGTCAACAGATAAAGATGAGGTCAAAAAACAAACCCGAGAACAGGGAAATGAAATGAAATTCAACCGTAAGCTGGTCACCATGGCAGTGCCAAGTGCACATTAGTTGTGTTTTAGACGATGAATAGCTGACACCTCTGCGTAACGTAGAAGTTTACGGTTATTCTGTCTATTTATTACTTGAAAGGCACTACCAGGATCTACTGAATGACCCATGTCCAATATATGTTTTCCAATGACACTGTTGGGTAGTTTGGAGTTAGTCAAAGTCAGTCAGTCAGTTACAACGTAGAACTTCGTACGTACGTACATCAGTTCGAGTTGCCATACCACATTAGCACAGAGATGAAGTTGTCGATTCAAACCCCATAGTGGTAGAAGTAGTAATAGTATAAGCATTATGTGAAAGATTAGGGTTTGAAAATGTTATTGAAGGAGTATAATCCAGTGAAATAAATTTGGAAAGAGAAAAAGGATACGGACATGAAGAATTCAGAAGATTAGAATTTGGTAGAACACAAAGAGTGTATGCACCTTCGCCATTGCAAACGATTTTGAGCCATGTCATTCAAGGTCTCTAGCCATCGGTTGCTATAATCTCGCTAGTCCCAACCAGGTAGTCTACACCTACCAACATGGCTCAGTTCACTTGTCAGCGACTTAATGGATTTGTGCCATGTTTTGATCTGGCCGCCCCTAGCTTTCTTCCAACCTACTCCTACACCATGGAACATTGCACGTCTGGGTAGCCAGTGGTTGGGCATACGTAACACGTGTCTCAGCCATCTCAACTGATGAAGTTTCAGTACTTCATCAATCGATTTGCCATCCTTACCTAGTACCCGTTTCCTAACATCTGCATTACTTAGCCGGTGGTCCCAGGATAAACGAGCAATGCGTCGAAGACACCTATGATCGAATACTAATAGCCTACGAATGTCCTCTACTCTTATCGGCCATGTTTCACTGCCATAAAGTAGGATGGAACGAACTGCTGCACAGTAAACCCGTCCTTTTGTTGCTAGACGAGCCTTCTGTATCCGTGCTGAGATTTCGTCATACACCAGACCACAAGGGCTGATGAGACTCCCAATATAAGTGAAGTAGTCAACACGCTCAACTACTTCACTCCTTATCATTAGTTCAGGTGTCGCTGCAACCCAATCCGGAAGTAACATTTTGCACTTCGAGGGAGAGAATCGCATTCCGAACATGCTTGCATTGTTGCTTATAGTGGTCAGAAGACTGCATTTTGTCAGCGTCTTCACCGAGTAAAACTATGTCGTCGGCGTATTCTAAGTCAACAAGTGAGCCTCCCGGTAAAAGTTGAGATGATGAAAGTGATATCTCTAAAAGCATGTCAACGACAAAGTTAAACAAGAATGGGAAGAGTGGACAGCCCTGACGAACACCACTTGAGGTAACCAATTCTGATGACAGTTCGCCATAGGCTCTAACTCGACCAGTTGTGTTCGAGTAGAGAGTCTTTATGAGGTTAATGTACTTCTTTGGTACTCCTTTCAGTGATAAACGCTGCCATAGAATCTCACGATCAACGGAGTCAAATGCCGCCTTAAGGTCAAGAAATACTACTATTGTGAGACGTCTGAATGTGTGTCTATGTTCTAGGACCTGACGTAGAGTGAATACCTGGTCTATACAACCACGTCCAGGTCGAAAACCAGACTGGTTTTCTCTAGTCTGCTCTTCACGAGCTTTGGTTAGGCGTCCAAGTATTATTGAAGCTAATATTTTAGACACAATATTAGTCAAACTGATCCCTCTGTGATTGTCACAGGAGGACTATTGTCCTTTCTTATAGACTGACACAATCAGTGATTGAGACCAGTCAGATGGAATTACGTCCAGTTCTCAGATTCTATCTAAGACCTTAGTCAATCTCGTTGCTAGTACTAGACCACCATCCTTAAAAATCTCAGGGGTCAACCTGTCAGGGCCTGTGGTTCTCCCTCGTTTCGGATTTCCTATAGCTTTTTCAACCTCGTAGAGAGTTGCAGGACTTACCTCAATTTGCCATTCAGGACGACTGGGTATTGTGGGTAACTGAAGTGTGGCTGAAGGCCAGTTGAACTGATCCCTAAAGTGTTCTGCCCATCGATCCAATCTCCTGGATTGAGAATGAATGATATGCCCATCTTTGTCTGAGATAGTTTCGCTAATAGTTGGGTTCCTAATGCCGGTTTCTTGAATAAGTCTGAATAGCTGTCTGCTGTTACCTATTGCCGCTGCCTTTTCCATCTCTTTTGCTTTCACTACCCACCACTGTTCACGATCATTGCGTAGGCTTCTTATTAGCCTTCGTTTAAGCTGACTCCGCTCTTCGTTATGTTCCGAGCCAGATGGGATGAGTTTTCGAGCATCTAAATAAAGGGAACTAACTGCATGAAATTTTCGAGCATCTATCAGTGAGGTAGATGCTGCCAAGTTCCATTGTTTCTCCCTGACCTTATGGCTTACCTTACTAGCGGATATCACTGCTGTTTCCACAGCTTTTCAGATGTCATTCCACACTGCTTCGGGGTGGGCACAACTTACATGTCTGTCTAACTGTTTTTCCAGTTGTTCCTGAAACATATTCTTAGCTTGCTTATCATCAAGTAGGACCCTAGAGGCTTCCCTGCAGTGTCTTTCCTACGTCCAGTAAGACACAGACAGATACGTGCTCTCACTGGAGCATAATCTGAGTCTAAACATGTGCTCCTGAATGAGTGACAGTCTTCTATCGAGCCCCTCCATCGGTGGCTGATAGCGATGTGGTCTAATTGGGTCCAACGTTGGGACGAATTCGGGGGTCGCCATGTCAAAAGATGTTTTTCCTTATGCTTAAAGTTAGTATTTGCAAGAAATAGGCGGTTATCTGAGCATAGCTGCAACAGACGGTCGCCATTATTTGTTCTTTTCGCCACGACACCATAAGATCCACCCAGGTATCTTTCCCTTTCACTTAGTTTACCTACTTGAACATTAAAGTCACCAGCCACTATCACTACATCAGAACGCCTAGCTTTTCGGATAAGGTCAGAAAGTTTCCTGTAGAACTCATCTTTCATGTCGTCTGAGCTGCAGTCAGTGAGAGAGTAGGCAGAGACGACGAAGAGGCAACGACGAGTTTCCCTATCTTTCCGAGTCCTTACTGATCCGTTTAGTCGGACAGCGCATAGACGACTGTCTACTGGGATCCAGTCTAAAAGAGCTAGTTCTGCCCTAGGACTTAATGCTATACCTACTCCAGTGAGACCACGGGAAGCAGCACCGGGGCTTCCAGATACACGAAGCGTGTATCGAGTTAGTTCTTTATTTTGTTTAGGTAAGGTCAAATGAGTGACGCTACTCGGATCTTGTATGCGCGTTTCGGAGACGCAGCACACATCGATGGTGTAAGATTCTAGAGTCCTAGCTAAGGAAGCCTGTTGTCCTATTTGGTACAATGTTCGGACATTAAAAGTTCCTATATGTAGTTTAGAGCGTGGTTTCAGGAGACCAGGAATAACGTTCCGTGTACTTGAATCGTTTGCCCTAGCGGTGCGAGGAGATAAAAGGACGTGGGAAGGGTTAGTCGTGGAGATAAGAGAGTTATTAGGAGGTGTAGGAAGGATTTGAAAGTGACCAACTTGGTCTCGTGTTCAGTTACGGGTATGAGGGCTAGTATCACTTCCCGGCTGCCCACACCGTGGAAGGGTATTTCTTGAGGGACCTGAAAAAGAAGTTGGATTAGTGTTGGTCTTAACGACCTGGGAGCGTGACCGCAGTGCCCAAGGGACAACTGCTTGAGGCCGGTCACGCATGGCCTTTTTGTAGTGGATTTTTGAAGTGTTAGCTCCGTTCTTCAAAGAACCTTACCGCCGGAGACGGATAAGGCGAGATGTGCATTTTTAGGGTCGACCTTTTCTAACCCCACCCCTCCTTGTGGGAAGGCAGCATCGCTGTTATGCTGGTTGTCTGGAGGAAACACCTTACCTACCGTCACACCTCTGTACAGTCGACAGTACGGCTTCGCCTTCGGATCTTGGGATTTCCGCTTTTAGTCTTACCGCTCTTCAACCGACCTGCCTGGAATGTTAGGACCTTGAGGAATAATTGTTCCAGCCAATTTAGCTCGATTGGTTCATCACGATAGGCAAGCTCGACCACCACGTCAAGGTAGCAGCAACGGTCGGGTTAGTCAAAAACAAATTGTCATCTTGTTGACATTTAAGGGAAAGTTATCGGGGACTGAAATGCTTGATTCTGTTATGAGTTCACCTTACTCAGTAAACGGAACGAAGGTCAAAGACACAGTAACACGACGGGCTGTTCTAATCCATTGTCCCCTGCCCCGCTAACTAGTGAGAAGCCCAGGTTGAAAGTGGGAAATATATATTCCGTAAGCAGCCAGAAGCACAAGCAATCCCAACAGGTACAAATCAAACTTATACATACAGCATAAAATTGTTCCTGGGGAGCTTTACAAAATAGCATACTAAAAGATACAACGAACCAATAATGTTTAAGATTTTCTCAAGTGGGAAATATGACATGAAGGTGAAAAAGAGCTCTTTTTGGCGCGAAAACAAAGAAATTCATTATTTCAAAATAAAATGACAAAAATGCAGGACTTGGATCTTTCAATCCTTTATAATCCTCTAGTTGAGGTTTATGTGATAGTGCAATTAAGTTACTTGGGACTTTATCAAATCTGGCTCAAAATAGACTTCGATATCAGTCCTGATGTAATTTACCATTCCTTCTTATAAAAAAGTGAGAACTTTTTTAACTGGAAAGATTCTTTCTCGTATTTTTATGCACTGAGCTGCTCATCTGATTACAGACTAATATCGTTCACTTATTTCTATTCATTCATTTGGTTCTGATTATATTCACCCTTGTTGATCTATTTCTTCATTATCTCATATTCTGATTTGTATGGCTCATATTTATTTTGGTTATCATATTTCCCATTGTTTATGTGTTCAAATAAATAAATAAAATGTACATTTTGTTATCCTTTATTTGAATTTGTATTTTTGAGACGCTTATTTAATAGGGTTTCATTTACAAACTCATTAGTTTACTGATAAAATCACCAGCTACTTCGTCATGTATTTCTGAAATTCGAATCCTAAAAGAAAACAGATGATGTCTTCACCTTCTAGTCTTAATCTGGCAGTTGAAAAACAATCAAAAAACCCAAATAATGTCTTTTTTCGTGAATCAGCATTTTTTTATGCATCTGAAGATAATTTTTATCGCTTACTATGTTCAGCTAGATAGCGATTGAAATCCAAAGACCATTGTGCAAATCTTTTGTCATATTATACGTCTGCCTAACATTGCACAAATCTGCGGCTATACATGACGTCGAAATAAAGGACCTTCAGTTTCATAGACTACTGGTATTTTTAAATTTCTCCAGTCGATTTCACTCCTTAATGAAAACTTGTCAAATTGAATTACTTTTCGCAAATCATTTATTTAAACTTACATATTTATTCAATTCAACGACAGGTTTCTGATATTTAATTTTTTTTGGTTGTTGAAATAATCTTTTTTATTCAGGCCAATAATCATATGAAAGCTTTAAAATATCTTATTGAAGATATAATTGATTATAAAGCCGCATTGTACTATTGTCTTACATTCAGCCGTCAACAACCTATTCATTATAGCGCACGTAAAAATGATACTAATGTACAATGTAATACAATAGCAGTAAATTCACTTGATAATTGTCATTATTTGAACCAGTTTGAATTGATGGAAGGTGATTCTAACAATCAATCAATATCCTCCTTGTTATTTACAATATTTGTTGAAATCTGCCTTGATAGGTAAGAATTTAACTTGATGTAGATTATAGTTTACTATTTATAGATTATTATCTTCATACTAACGAATATGTAGGAGGGTTTTTTAAACTTGATTTATTCACGTGAATTGTTTAAAAACTTTAAAATCTGTATTAAATCAATATAATGAATATTAGATGCATGCTAACTACTGATTAGGGTCGATTTTGAGTTCTTAAAGTTATTTTGTGGTATTATAGTCTCTTTATTCAACTTTGTGACCGGATGATATTGTACTCGTAAATTTTATGTTCAATCTTAAGATTAGTTGTGGACATGCTCCACTGAGGAGCACCAAATTAAAATAAAACGCACTTTCAATGCCGTTTAGTTTTTACTTATCACCCATTGCATAATAAAAATTACTTTCCAGTTGTAAAACTGTAGTGATCAGGAATAATGGAATTCGCAATAACTAGGAGTATTGTATATATACCAGTATCACAATAAGGGAGATTGCAGTGAGCACATCTAGAAATATTGTATTTGAAAATCAACTGAACCGCAGAATCGCTTACAAAAGAAATCATCGATTAGTACAAATACCACAAAAACATCACGACAAAATCAATAAAGTAAATTAAGTCTATTAGGTCAGAATATTCAGAACGCCGATCTAATGAACGGTATTACAGGTGTAGTCTAATGAATTGAGAGATGATAAAACTGTTAGAGATAACTAGAATAGTCTGTGGCTTTCAAAAGTAATTGCATTATATTGGTCAATTATTTCGTTATCAAGTGCAAGAGAAAGAAGTATACTTTCTATAAAACAATGTCTCACTATTGTCATGGGTTTTTATTCAAAAATTGTATTTATATAAAATAATCAATCGATTGTTACTTTTAATATACATTTTTGAATAATTTTGATTTCATTGGAATTTATGTGGTTCAGAACAAGTGAGCGAATAAAATGATTGATTACATCTACACTTACTTTTCATATCGCTTATTAAATTCATATAACTTCATGCATTACGGTATGTAGTCTTGGAGCAAATATTTGATCTGATTTTTAGTTAAATGAATTGTCAGATCAATCGGAAAACATGAAAATCGTACGTGACTAGACTCCAAAAACATAAGTGTTGAAATATTTAATTTTAATTATATCTGTTACCTGTAAAATGTTAAGTAATTTACTAGATGGGTATTATAAATAGTAAACAGCTTTTGCGATTCCATTGAGCTAGTTTCAACTGGACTAGCATCAGGTGAATAACCATTAAAAATGAATGAGAATCCAATAACTTTCTACTTAGTAGGATGTTGTGTTGAGTTGGTTTAGACAGCTTTTATAGTATTGTGTCATTATGTGCAAATTGCTGTAGTTAAAACTGTGAATTATCGGTTTCGGACTCTTTTATTCAGTAGTGCCTTTTTCACTGAGAGATGTGACGATTTTTGTTTCTGTTTCATGCAGGATCGCGAGTATTCTGTATAAATTAGTCTCAAACTGAGACGAATCAATTATGGAGTGCTTCTTGGTTTTTGCCATCTTTAATTTGATTTCAGTTCATGATGAAAAACATATTTGAATTACAAGGTGTTACATTATTTAACCATGCTATCAGAAATTATCAGTAGTTTTCAAGTATGAAATATAAGTTACATAATAGTTTTAAGAGTAATAAAAAGTACTAGTTTATAGAGATGTATGAGAAAATTACCTACTTGACGAATATCAGGAATATGAGGAACAAAATAATTCCCCACTAATAACTTGTAAAATTAGAAGTGGTACTAAGACCATGGTGCAATAACATATTAAATGTCTTCCGTGAACATAAAGATCGGGGTCGAATCGGTGAACTGACAATTCCTCAAAAATTACAAATTTCTGACCCAAACTCTTTAATCGAGTTTTTGCAACTTTGTAGATACTCTTGAATGGTGGTTCCTTTCAGTTGAAATAATGTAACACCCTCCTATTTTGTTATAATTTATGTGTAAAAATAAACCATAAATATGACTGTAAAGTTCAATTAAATGATATTGTTGCAAATAAAATTTTATATACTGAATCGCTTCTTTCTTTTGATCTACGTTAAATCGTAAAGCTTCTTAAATTCAAAGGAATTTATAGTTTCTGTCTATTTGTTACGTGAAAATTCAACACTTCAAACATATGTGTTTTGTAACGTCAACCGAATCAAAACAACACACATACACGAACAACATTTTCAATTAAGCACTTCATCAGGCTTTACTGTAATCCTTACATGGTTGTACTGAAAATATTGAACTAGTTAAGGTAACGTGTCGGTCTATTGTAACAATGAAATAGTTTTACATAACTTCATTTAACCGGTTTATTAATAAATAAAAAATAATAACATGAATAAGAATGCTGACCTAAGAAGTAGGTCAAAGCTTGAAGAAATAAACATATCAAAATAATCAATTTTAACGAGACCATCGTAGAAGATTAAAAATGGCTAAATAGCTGTTACGTCTTAGCATGAGACTCAGTAATGTGCATCCAATGCCATTCCATAAGAGATCGAACTCTAGAACGTTGGTCCTGCTTGCGAACGCTGAGCGCGCCACTAAAGAGTCACATAATTAGATGAAATAGTTCTCCAGTTCTTTTTTGTTTTCAATGATGATCTAGCTAATATCAATTCGTGATTTAAATAATTAAAAACCACCATCTTCATAAACTGTCTAATGCTAAAAATACTGGTGATTGAAAATCACGTACCAATAAATGTATGAATAATCAGTTTAAGTATGTAGATAATTATCAATAATTCACAAATTACTTTAACTGGTCTTTAGTTTTTTCATATATGCATATAGAAATTATTGTATATTAGGTGTAAAGCTGTAAAAAAAATATCCAATGGGGAAAAAAAACTTTGTTCCCTTATTTGTGTTGTTTAAATATTTTACACTATGGGAATTACAAAAAAATCGTTTCCAATCTATTCAATCATTCAAAACTTTAACAAATAAGAACAGTTAATTGAAAACTTTTAACATTGTCATATTTCTTTTTTACTGGTTTTTATGTATTCCCTTCCCTTCTTGTTTCTTTTTTCTCTCTTTAAATAGACTTCTTATTAACGAGGAGAACTCTAATGATGATATAAAGAAAATGATTTTGAATCTTCTTAATAATCCTGACTTAAAATTCAATTATTCAAAGGTAATTAGATATTCTTTTTCTTCTATGTCATATATGTTAAAATTGTTATAATGATATATTAGTGTTGCTTTATTCAGTGAGTCGATTCTGTTGATCCTAGACATGATAGCAACTAATTTCGTTTTAGTATACTCTCATAATTACTTAAATTCGCGAATAACTGATAGACATTCATAGATTTATTTAATATTACTTAAACTGACTATCTACTTGGTTTGTTGTTTTTCAGTTATACAAATTTCCTTGTTTGATTCAAGTAAGACTCGAGGGTTTTTCTAGTCGACCAACTTCTTTCCTTAGTTGCTAATGGTCCATCTATTTTAAGAATTGTAATAAACATAATTCCCATCTTGATTTGCTCGGAGTTGGCTGCTGACTGTGTTCACAATGTGTAAAATCGTTCTCAGTACCCATAGATACAATCCACTATCATCAAACCCCCTAAATGTAACTGTTTGATATTTTCGACTGACAATTTAATATTTCTCTTCATCTAGTTAGATATCAGAGTAATAAAGTCCCAATTCTTATTCTTATCTTGTATACAATTGGCTTCACTGATCCTATTGCAGTCACAAACTCAACATTACTGACGGTTTGTCAGATAAAAGTACCATGCAAACCGGCTGTTTTTAATGTTTTCAGTGCCTATTTCAACTAATATAGATTTTTTTTACGAAAACTATCTCCGAATTAATCATATCCTTTGGAAAAGAAACATTAAGTATTGTTATTTTTCTTCCAGTTATTATCTCGTTTACCATCAACATGGGACATTTTAGAAATCAAACCATTCCTACATAATGCACTTAGATCTACTCTTCATGAATGGTCAGAACTTGAGTTAGAATATGGTTTAACTAAATATAATGCGAAATTATCTGTTGTCGATCTCCCTAAAAATTCAAATTGTTTATTAATTGAAGATGATACTTTGTGCTCTATATGCCATCAATCAATTTATGTATATGGTCTATCCGATAGCTTTGCTTGGCTTATTCCTAAAAATCAAGTTGTTCACACTCATTGTTTATCATCTAATCAGTGATAACAATCTTTGCTTATGCAATTCCTTTTTCCTCTTATTTTGTACTTCCGTTGTTTGCCTAGTGCTTTCTTATTTATTGATTTTGTTTTTTCTTCTATACTGTTGATGATTAAAGTGATTCAAAGCGACAAACTGTTCTGCACTGTATTTAGTTAACTTTCTTTTCCTTTGTTTGATGTACATACTTACCTGTTTTCTATGAGCGATTACATTTTATTGTATTGATATATACATTATATTAACAACTTTATATTTTAAAAGAATATCCACTGGTGTCATACTTTTTTAACAGTTTATTGGCCGTCTGAATTCAGCAGCATAATGAATGACCAGTTGACATTTAGAGCGATCATTTTCTAAGTTTGAGTTTTAATGTGAACACTAAGATACCAGGAAGTTTAGTTGACGAATCGTAAATAAGATAAAAACCTTCACCCTTGATTGTGTTGCAAAGTATGATCCAAAGACAAAGAAATTTATAGATAAAAGCAATTTGATTTATTTATATATTTCAACACACTAACATTGGTACAAGGGGGCACCAAATTCATATGCGCCACACAATAACAATCAGGCTGTGAAGAGGTACAGAATGTGACATGCGTATGATAAAGAGAGGAAAAACAACGAACAAAAATTAGTGTATGAGGGTGAAATAATAATAATAATGGGAGAGGCAGTTCAGTTAGAAAAGGTACAACCAGAAAGAATCCTTTCAATTAAAGCAGTTACGTCCATTTTTTTATGAGGTAAAAGAAATTTACAGTAGGATGGCCACTGGCTTCTATTCTGAACGATATATGATAATTTCTTAAGCCACTGTATTGCGCTATCTTTCGGACCCCAGCCAGGAAGTCGTGAAGGTCCAACAGAAGCCAGTGCTGTTCAGCTTTCTTTCAAACCTCGACACTATGTCCTACACAGATTTCCTCTTTCTTCAACTAGTCCCAGCGTCGGCAATTAATGCACGACGCAGAATTCTGTGGGACAACATTCGAAGAACATGTCTAATCCACCGAAGTCGGTGTTTCAAGATGGTGACACTAATTGTATTATCGTCGCCGTGCCCGTACACACTATGCCGAACCTCCGTATTACTAACACGCTGTTGCGACTGTATAATAGCAATCCTTCGGAGACATCCATGAATAAATACAGAGAGACGTCTAACATCCTCAACTCGGAGAGGCCAGGTTTCACAAGCGTAGAGCAAATCTGCTCTCACTGACGCGTTGTAGATCCGATCTTTTACAACCAGACTAACATCACGAAGGCGCCAAAGGTCGCTCAGCTTGGCATAAGCCAATCTGGCTTTCACCCACGCCACCACCACTTATGCAGATACACGAGCTTCTCGACTACTTATATTTGCTCACTACGTAGAGTGAGTTCGGGATTAGAGTCCTCCCAGTCTTGTAAGAGTACTTTGCACTTCGAAGGTGCAAAGCACATACCGTACCTACGGAGACCTATTGCCAACTGATTAAGTAAGGATTGCATGGCTTGGGCATTATCGCATAGTAAGACAATATCATCCGCAATGCTCAAGGTCGAAAAGTCTTTCTCCAGGCAACAGATCTACACCGCCATTACTTACATCTATCAGAGATGTTTCCAGAATGACATCTATGGCAAAGTTGAAGAGGAGTGATGAGATTGAGGAACCCTGTCTAGCCACACTGCTTGAATGGAACAATGGAGGAAGGTGGTTGCATGCCCTTACTCTGTCTGAGGTATTTGTATATAGGGACTTTAGGATGTTACTAAACTTCTCAGACACACCTTTCTTCAAAAGACAATCCCAGAGGACAGTCCTGTCCAACGAATCGAAGGCGGCCCTGATATCAAGAAACACTACGCTTGTTGGCCGGTGATAAGTATGACGGTGTTCTAACATTTGGCGGAGGGTGAACATATGATCAATACATACTCGACCGGAATGAAAAACAGCCTGATCCTTCCGAGTCAATCTTTCTCCGGTTTTAAACAATCTACGAAGTATGACAGAAGCCAATCGGAAGTAGACTTACCCCCCGATAGTTGTTACAGGAACGACGTGAACCATTTTTAAAGATGGGGACAACTATCGACTCATTCCATGACGTTGGAACACTCTCTAGCTCCTAGACCTTTGTAAACAACTCAGTCAATTCTTTAGTAAGTCATTCACCACCATCCTTAAAAAGAGCAGGAGGTAGGTCATCTGGGTCTGATCTGTAGTGCTTCAAGATTCGGAGTTCCTTGTGGACATCCTCCTCCTCAGGTGGGCGAGGCGTCACATGCCATGGAGGGCAGGACAATCGGATTGATATCTACGGGGCAGCAGACTAATTGAACTGCTCCTCGAGAAACTCGTCCAAGACATCAATAGATGTTAGTGATTGGCATTCCGTCATCTTCACAGATTGTTTCACTCACACCAGATGTCTCGCTTCTAATGACTTAGACCAGTTGAAAGAGCTTCTGGAAATTGACAGATGCAGCTACTGTTTTCAACTCATTGGCACGCTCCCACCACCAGACTTTTCGGTCCTTACTCAAACTTTGTCCAAGTTCATTACGTAACAGTCGTCGTTTGTGGTCGAACTCACGGTCACCGGAAGTAGACCGATGTGCTTTATTGAGTTGTAAGGAGCTAGAAGAAACCCAGTGCTTATAAGCAGGACGTTTCGCGAAGCCATAAGCGACTTTACCATTTTCATGGCGTCATGCGATTGCGACCACTGCTAATCTATACTTTTCGGTAGGATGGTAGCTAGCCTTGAACCTAGCTCGGTTTGATACTTAGTTGCAACAGAAGCTGTAACTAATTTGTTGACATCGATCCGTTTAGGACGATGAATTTGTTGACCGTTGGAACTTAGGGTAAGATTAGAGCAAACAATGGCATGACCAAAGTCATGATAAACACTCTAAAAGAAGCACCTCTAAACTGATTGTCTACTTGTTATATCCGGATAAGAACACTGAATGATAACTTTTGGTATCCATTTAGGGACAAATATTATGCGTATATTTTTATCGTATAATTGTTAAATAACTAACCTATTCATATTCATGTCCCTCTTATTATGTGCTTTATTTTGACTTATGAACTACTATCATGCGATTTACCATTCTTGAGTTATGTCCTGTCTATCAATTATTATCTCCCTTATTCAAAGCCACATTTGGCTAAATCTTGTACAAATACTGTTTCCCATTTTATGGTACGATGTGCTCTGTCTGGTTGGTATATAAACACTGTACCTTTGAAATAAATGATTCATACTGCAGAGGCTGAGATTAGTTTTCTGGACTCAATAAATGAAATGATGATTCCTACTTAACTGGCAGGGCTAGGCGGGAAGCAAGGACTCTAGACTGCTCGTACGGGTTGGTTCGATCGATAATTCACTGCTCTCTAATTGGCAGTATTATCACGTTATACATTAATAGAGCACACAGGCTACAAGTTATAACACTACTTACTTATTTCTGTTTTGTAAGTAGACCTAATTAAGTGTAAACTGAACTCCCATGATGGACTAAACTGCCAAATCGTCCATGTACGACAACTCACCGACTCATTCGAGGTAAAGACCGGTGTTGGGCAAGGTTGCTTACTCTCACCCCTTCTCTTTCTCCTGGTGATCGACTGGATCATGAAGACGTCAACATCTGGAGGAATGCACGGGATACAGTGGACAGACAGGATGCAGCTTGACGATTTAGACTTCGCGGATGATCTGGCTCTTCTATCGCAAACGCAACAACAAATGCAAGAGAAGACGACCAGTGTGGCAGCAGCCTCAGCAGCAGTAGGTCTCAATATAAACAAAGGGAAAAGCAAGACCCTCCGATACAATACAATATGCACCAATCAAATTACACTTGACGGAGACGCTTTGGAGGATGTGGAAACCTTTACATATCTGGGCAGCATCATTGATGAACATGGTGGACCGATGCAGATGTGAGGGCGAGGATCGGCAAAGCAAGAGCAGCATACCTACAACTGAAAAACATCTGGAGCTCAAAACAATTGTCAACCAACACCAAGGTTAGAATTTTCAATACAAATGTGAAGACAGTTTTACTGTATGGGGCGGAGACGTGGAGAACTACGAAAGCCATTAACCAGAAGATGCAAGTGTTTATTAACAGCTGTCTACGCAAGATACTTCGGATCCGATGGCCAGACACTATCAGCAATAAGTTACTGTGGGAGAGAACAAACCAGATTCCAGCGGAGGAAGAAATCAGGAGGAAGCACTGGTAGTGGATTGGACACACTTTGAGGAAATCACCTAATTGCATCACAAGGCAAGCCCTCACATGGAATCCTGAAGGTCAAAGGAGAAGAGGAAGATCAAGGAACACATTACGCCGAGAAATAGAGACAGACATGACAAGAATGAACAAGAACTGGAAAGAACTAGAAAAGAAGGCCCAGGACAGAGTGGGTTGGAGAAAGCTGGTTGGCGGCCTATGCTCCATTGGGAGTAACAGGCGTAAGTAAGTAAGTTTCCCCATGTGGTACAAGCATACCTAAGTTACTTACACTAATGTGTAAATCTAGATTTGCATACACTAATACCACTGGTAAATATTGAAATTAATATATCAACAGCAAACCGAGTTAATTTAACAGAAATTTAGTTTAAATCAATGTTAATTTGAAAGCGTCAGTATCTTTAAAGAGATATTACTAACAAGTGATCAATTAGAATAAAACAAATTTTTCATTACTTTTAATTTATTGCTTTTAATCTTAGTAAATTTATTTAAATTACAAATAAAGTGATCTACTGTAAGCAAAGATGGATATTGGCTAGAAGTGAAATCCAGGACGCGCGTTTCGTCCTATTTGGGACTCGTCAGCTGGATGTTAAGGCTATATCGAGGCAATAGGCACAGTATACACATATGCCAATTAGAGATTGACTAGTTGCAGTTTTAACACATCAATGGGAAGATTCAAACAAACAATACTACATGAAATTTAAGTGATCTACTCTTCTGGAAATATAAAGTATTAATAATTTCATAATGATTCTATTGGATATCAACACAAATTCATAATTTCAATTAAATTTAATTATTTATAATTATGGACTTATAACTGTAGAGCCTGATGATGAAGTTATTGAAAACAATTGTTCGCTAAAATATTGTTCATTTTTGAATTATCTATGGGGATCTTTAAACTGCTAATTATTTGACTTAGTATTCTAGTTTTGAGAAATTTAAAGCAATTAGTCCCTTTGATAAACTTCGATAGTGTAGAAATAAGAAGACGAAGATTATCAGAACTATGTGATAAATTAGAGTAATACATTTCGAACAATCTGATCACACATATATACTTGTTAAGAATATTTATATATATAAATAAAAGGTCAACTAGACTGGAAATGGGGGGGGGTAAGAAGAGACAAGGATAATAATAATAATAATGTGAAAACAATTTGGCATCTAATCACTCTGGTTAATATGCTAATGTTACCAGGGTAGGTTTAAGGTGAGAACAAATTGTTTTTTTTTAATACACAGAGGGGGTTTGGATTTTCGTATGGCTTAGGCTTCAATAAACCTTAGTATACGCCCTTTTACACTTTTATACAACACCACAAAAGCTGAGTTAAGATCAAGCTTATGGCCTGTTTCGATTATGTGTTTGGCAATAGAGGATGATGGATGTTTATATATATCACATAGCTCTGACAGTCTTCGTCTTCTTATTTCTACACTATCGAAATTAGTATTCTACATTATATTTAATAATTAGTTTACATTTTAGAAGGGGTTTAGTGGAGATTTAGTATTTATCATTGTTGAAAGCGTGAGTCCATCGAAGCTAGACCACCATGGAAAACCTGGACGGCCGTTTCGTCCTACTATGGGACTCCTCATCAGTGCGCATCCACGAACCTGCTCTCGCGAGATTCGAACCCAGGACCTACCAGTCTCGAGCCGAAGCCCTTAACCGATAGACCACTGAACTGTTCGGCATCCAACGGTGTTAATGTCTAACTTCAACTGATTCACGAAGTTGAGCAACCATTCACCAATTGTCTTCAGTGAGTTCCTATCTCACAACAGACGTGGTTTTGAACTCCACTGCTCAGTGGTCTATCGGTTAAAGGCTTCGGATCCAGACTGATAGGTCCTGGGTTCGAATCTCGCTCGCGAGAGCAGGTTCGTGGATGCGCGCTGCTGAGGAGTCCCATAATAGTTTACATTTATTAACTATAAATTTTTATTCATAGATTTTTAGAAAAGTTCTAAAACCATTTTGGAATATAAGCAAAGATGGATAATGGCTAACAGTGGAATCCAGGACGCCTGTTTCGTCCTATTTGGGACTCGTCAGCTGCATGTACCTGCATCTCAGAGTTGATGTTCACTCTGGGACTCGAACCCAGTACCCTCGTTTCAAACGCCATCACGTTATCCACTCGGCCATTGAATCCTGATAGCCACTTGCTTTTGCGACGGGGTGAAGTTTAAATTCACTTAGTATTGTTTGTTTGAATCATTTTGGAATATTCTTCAATTTCTAGTTGCAATCAATTGAAATACAAAAAATTCAGTAATGATATCATTATGTCATTTAAGAGACTGACCAGTTACAGTCCTACACATCAATGGGAAGATTCAAACAAGCAATACTAAGTGAATTATGTCATTTAGTTAATCAAACAGTTAGGTAGTAAATCAATCAATCGACTATTAATTTAATCAAGAATTTTTAATTGAAATAGTTTTGACAGTAAAACACTTTTATTTGTAAATCGTTATTATTAGTTGTAATGGTTAAGTATAATCTATTGAGTGAATTAACACATATAAGATAGAATGATTAACTTAATTAATACTCCCGGGTCGGAAACTATGTGATTGTAATTATTACTGTTATTTCTATTAATATCACTACCCTTTTTGGTAGAACAGTGAATGAGTCATTCGATTAGTAATTGAAAATATTACAATGAAATATATATAGGTAGATAGATAGATATCACAGACTAAAAATGTAGAATTAATGGTTACGATCTGGAAATGTTGATGTCCTGCTAAATAAATTAGTAATTTACACACGTAGTATCGATTTTCGTGCTTTAAACATTCATTATATAATTATTGATCAGTATAACGAGTTGAGTTACTATATACGGTGACGTTTGTTTATATCAGTTTCTTAATAAATAAATCAAAATCCTCAGCTCTACATAATATTTTGTTAATTTCTACAAATATTTTCATAGAATAATAAATAAACAAAATTCATTTCAGTGAGTTTATTTTCAAGATGCATTTTTGTATCTCTTATGTCTTCAGTAATAAGTATAGTAAGTTGGTGAACTTGTGATAATATTTAGTTTGTTTTCCAGTGAAGGTTCACCTTCTCCTTAAAAATGTTCACTGATTTGTCTGTTATCACTTGTTTGGGTAAGGCGATCCAGTCAATGACCAATCGATGAGAAAAACGGAATCCTATTTTGAGTTTATTAGATCGCGGCTTTTGAACCTTCTTGCTATGGTCTCGAAGATTTTTAGTGATAGAGAGAGTAGAAAGATGAGACATATTAACAACTAAATCGTAACTAAAGATACAGAATCCCAATATGAGGTCACATTGTGTTTTACGATATGATAAGGGGAAAACGTTTAGACGTTTTAAGCTCTCATCCTAAGATAGTGTGGAAAGACAATTCACTAATTCTGTTCACACACAGAACACGCTCAAGTGAGTAAGTATCCTTAACAAGACATGGACCAGCTGCTTGGATAAAGTACTCTAAGTGTGATCTTATGTAGGTGGTAGATAAAACTTGAAACGCCTCCTCGTCGAAACATTTGTATTCTCGAAGTCACCATAACGCGCGAAAAATTTTGGAGGCGGCTAGATTGAAATGCGGTGGTTGTCAAGTCATGACTCACTCTATGTTCCTGCACGCATGGAAGAGATATACCATTGATAGTATACTGGTAACTGTTGCCGTGTCCGATGTGCATGAGCACACTCTTTCTAGAATTAATTTCTGAGCTCCAACTTTTGGACTATCTAAGGCCCGCTTGGAGGTCAAAATGACCAGCCTCACTTCCTGTTTTTCTCCAGATCTTGACATCATCCGCAAAAAATAATGTCGATGGATCAGGCAATCGCGGTAATTCATTGACGTGAACATGTGGTCGATGCAGCCACGATCGGGTCTGAAGCCAGCCTGATTTTCTTGTATTTGCAGTTCACGAAATTTTGTTGGGTGTCTGATAATTGTTGAGGATAATATTTTAGCAGTAGGACTTCTCCCTCGGACCTTGGGTTTGCTGATTTTAGTCAACCGAACTGCCTGGAGTGGTAGGACCTTGAGGAACGATTGTTCCAGCCAGTATGGCCAGACTGGATCATAACGATAGGAAAGTTCGACCACCACGACAAGGTAGCAGCAACAATCTGGATCGCGTCTTTCTAAATACATTCGGACTAATGTTATTTTATTATCATTAATAAATGATATATTTGTAATATATCAATGAGTAGAAAAATTAGATCTTCTGACGTTTCGTGACTCAGTATAAGCCACTTCTTCAGAAAATAAGTAACTTAATTAAAATCAATCCAAATTTAAACAGTACAGTGGAACAACATGGATATTATGTCGAAATTTTACTTAATTCGGTTATTTATTCTCTGAAGAAGTAGCTTATACTGAATCATGAAACGTCAGAAAATCTAATTTTTCTATTCATTGGGATATTAAAAATATATTGTTTATAACAAACTACCCAATGTTCAACTTTTTTGAAATTATCAAAACTCTGTAATGATAACTATTTAATTATCAGTTCAAATGTGTCAGCACTACGTAAAAATCTGCAATGAATTACTTAACTTTATAATCATCATACAAAATGTTATCAGGATAACATGTCTTCATGATTGATATCCTCCTACATCGCCTGCACATAAGGCGAAATTTAAAACTGCAGCCAATTGGGTGGAAGCATCACTCTTCCTTTTGAAATGAAAACATAGATATGAAAATACTAAATCTCCACAACACTCCTTCTGATAATTAATATAATTATATGCTCACTAGTGACTGACTTCGAGAAGTACATCCAGGAGTTTTAGTAATAAGCAGTGACCAGTGGAGTTCAAACCACGTCTGTAGAGAGATAGGAACTCACTGAAGACAATTGGTGAACTGTTGCTCAACTTCGTGAATCAGTTGAAGTTAGACATTAACACCGTTGGATGCCGAACAGCTCAGTGGTCTATCGGTTAAGGGCTCTGGCTCGAGACTGGTAGGTCCTGGGTTCGAATCTCGCGAGTGCGGGATCGTGGATGCGCACTGATGAGGAGTCCCATAGTAGGACGAAACGTCCGTTCACAGCTTCCAGGTTTTCCGTGGTGGTCACGCTTTCAACTATGAAAATAGATAAGAAAACTCAAATGTGCCCAGTCATAGAAAACTGGTTACTACATTGATCAAAAGATTTGTAGGCATGATTAAAAGGATAGACATATCTGTCCAGATGAAAAGGACTCAATGCAACATTTTGAAAAATGAAACAGGTCAAAGATAGTTCTATGAAGATTTTAATTTTATAAGCGCTAAAATTCTTTCTAGCGATACTGTGGAAACGAGAGTACAACTTGGCGGTGCTCAGAATAAACGAAACCCAATGAAAATACAGTAAATCAAAAAAGGCAAGACAATCACTGAGACTCCAGGAACAGATAAGTGGGACAATTCGAGAAACTCTTGAATAGACCAGCTCCATTGGATCCATCGGACATCGAAGCAGCACACACACCTGCCTATAGATGTTACTCCATCAACGATCGAAGAAATCCGCATGGCCATCAGACAAATCAAGAGAGGGAAAGCAGCTGGACCGGACAATATACCAGCTCAAGCACCGAAGTCACACACAGAAGTAACTGCGAACATGCTCCACATCCTATCCAGGAAGATTTGGGAGGAAGAACAAGTCCCACAGACAGATTAGAAAGAAGGATACCCCATCAATATAACAAAAAGAGTTCTGAGCGAATGTGACAAATATAGAGGAATCACACTACTGTCAGTACCGGGAAAGGTTTTCAACAGTGTTGCTGAACCGGATGGAAGATTCAGTAGACGACCAACTTCGAGATCAACAGGCTGGATTCCGTAAGGATCAGTCGTGCACAAACCAAATTGCGACACTACAGACTATCGTTGAACAACCAATTAAATGAAATTCATCGCTATGCATCAACTTCCTTGACTATGAGAAAGCGTTTGACAGTGTGGATAAAAAAATTATGGAACCTTCTTCGACACTATAATGTATCTGAGAAAATCGCCAACATCATCATCAATTTATACGACGGACTACACTGCAAAGTCGTGCATGGAGGACAGCTGACAGATGCATTCCAAGTAAGGACTGGAGTCAGACAAGGTTGCTTATTCTCATCCTTCCACGCTTAGAGAGCTAATTTATCTTGGTCTTATAGTTGGAATTTCTACAGAGAAATATGTCTATATCGGTTCTACAGCATTTGATGATTGATTGAATAGCAAAAGGTTTATTTTTAATTTGGATATACATTGAAGTCGCAATCATAATGCTAAATTCGGTGTATGTGTCTATTAGTGAAAAAATCAACTATGGATTACACAAAATATTTGTTCACCAGTAACTTCATGAAAAAGTCAAATACAAACATTGTCGATAGCCACTTTTTATTTATAGAAGAGAACAAATATGAGAAAGAAGCATAAAATTATTTAAGATCATTAAATTGTCTTTCTTTGATTTTAAAGATTGTCGAAAAGTAAATCAATAAGATGGATACTTATAATAAATACACGTTTTGTGTGGTACAAAAGCACAGACATAAGAAACATTTGTTAAACAAAGATATGGAGAATATAATAAAAATCATATGTTAATAGGGGAATCTTTTTAAGGCTGTGCAGAAGGTTGTCCAGGTAGATACTGTCCCTGAAGACCACCACCAGCAGCGGGAGCAGGTGGGTCAGTAATACCTCCACTAACATTAGGAAAAGCACCATTAGCACCCATTGAATGAGCAGGGTGCATCATGTTAGGGGGGGAAAATGATGCATTTGGAGGCATCGGCATTGTAGGATAAGCGCCATAGAATGGATACATTGCTGGATAAGGAGCCATTCCTAAATGTAATGGGATAAAATATTAAAGTTCGAGCAACAACTTGATTGAACAGGATAACAAAAATCTATAAATAAAACCCATCACACAGTTCAATTGACTTTACTTGTTCTTCTTGTGTACATTAAAAATACAAGTTATCTTTCAACCAAAATGGAAGACTGTGTCTAAATGTGTAGAGACATTCAACGTTATCACAATGATTGTTGTTTCGAAATCTATTGGGAAAGAATGCACTAGATTTTATCCTATGAAAAACTGTTTCAAAAAATGAACGTTCTAAATTATTAATCAAGTAATTTTCCTTCAAACGAATTCAATGAAGTTTGAGATTACTACAGTACTCGATCATATAAATTAAGCAAACAGCAAACGAATTTTCTTTATCTGTTCAAAAGGATATTCGATTACAAACTATTTTCCTAATTGACTTTTAAAAACGGAAAACGAAAATACACTGTTTTTCACTCGATTGATTTGAATACTAATTATTGATTATGACAATCACCTAATTTGCAAGCGATCACAACCTATGTGCTGGAATAGAGGTCTTGAGATGACAACCTTAATTAGTTGTATTCTACCTTGAACTATAGATAATTGATTTGGCAAACGTTTGAAAATCACTTGAAGTGAACTTGTAATTGTGCAATTAACAGCTATTTCAATGATAAAAAATGGAATTCAGTGTAACTCAGGAATCAACTATCCTGGTGATTTTCATAATATTTAGTTCAAGATATCAAATATGCATTAATTGGCATAATTTACAGGTTCAGTCAACATAACTTGAAAGTAAGAATATGGTCGCGGTCGTAATTTAATAATCCTAACACATAACAGGCCGAACTAAGTAGAGTCTGATACGAATTAGTTAAACTTGTTTTTTTTAGTTGAGCTCTAAGAGATTATTCTGTGAGACATTGCAAATAAATATACATCCAATTTTAATTATATAGCTATTTGTAATAATTAATCGTAAATGAAAGCTCACTATAGTTTTAATCTTCATTTTAACTTTAAAAACCTTATGTAATTAACTGATTATTACTTTGTTAAACTGACTCACTACCATCTAATTGGCATCGACTTTCTAGTCACATATATGATTAGTGTAGAGCATTGATGGAGAATTAATGGAAAAGAATATTTCTTCTCTAAACTTATCGTTTTAGTGTCTCAATGGGAAAATTTATTGAATTGAAATATCTAAGTATAATAGTGATCATTTGAAACTAGGAATACATAAAATGTGGGATGAATGAAACAGTAGTAACAATCAGTAATCTATAAACAATAAAAGGGAAACGTATAAAGTATGTCAATAGCTTTTTTTTAATGACACGGAATAGCTGATACAGTGATAAAATGGAAGGGAAATCAAACCGTAAATGAACAACGAATTTTGCTTCAAAAATAAGGACATATTATTTTCGCTGAGATGATTCTACTATGCACTGATTAACTTAACTGAAATTATTATACTAGGATATTTAATGTTGATTTAATTTTCAAAACTGATAATTTATCATGGTCTAAGTTATGTAACATGATTCATTCTACTAATGTAAGAACCAATAGCATTTATCCTGTTAAATGATTAATAATACAATACAGCTGGATCAACATACTGAGAGGAATGATCAATGATCTTGTAATATGTTAGTATAAACAAACTGTATGATGTTCATAAATTATGTAACAAAAAAAACAAATGTAACACAGTTATCAAAGGGATAAGGAGATATTATCAATAATTTAGTCATTACCTTGGGAAAAATTCCAAATAGGGAAAACGATAAACTTTAAACCATATAGGAAATATGATAAATCTAACTAAACGCTTGATTCCGTATTCTAAGTTCTTCTAATAACACCAGGTTAAATCGACACGGCAACTTGAACAGGAGAGAAAAGACACGAAGTGTTAGAAGAACGCTTTACTTCAATGTTCCTCTATGTACAGAAAATCGAGAGTATTTATAGCGATTCAGATGGTCTTGGGTTTAGGGAAGATTCTGGAATCATACGAAATAAAGTAGCTGAAGAGGCATTTATCCAATCAGAAATGTGGCACGTGACTCTTCACTTTCTAGATGTTTCTGGGAGGCTTATATTTAGCTCTGATTGGATAAAATGTTTCTCAGAGTTTTTAAGGACCCCTCTGGACTTTTTCGAGGAATACTTCGGATCACACCAACACGTTTCTTCTTTGTATCCACTTACCATATCAAATTATATAAAACTATCAACAATCCTTTCATTTTAATCTTCATTTACACATTAAAATTAACTTATATTTTATTTAAATGGTTTGTGCAGAACTACTAATAAAAATTACGACAACTGCATCAACACACACACAAACATACTAGTATTTTATACAATTTTACCCATTAGTATATTTGAATAAAGGAAGAACAAAAAGAATAGAATAATAAAACTGATTGATCGACTTATCCGAAGTTATCACGACTAAACCGATGAAATCGAATCAATGCATTCAAAATAGGATACCGTTTTAAATCTCTTATTATCCCAGTAAGTTTTATTTTTTATTGATCAATTAGATAACATCTCATTTCATATTCTCAATAACAATTTTAGCCATGAGTCGATTTTTGAGCTTCGCTCATCTTATTCTGTAAATCTATTCAGTTTTATGGTTAATATTAGGTAACGTTGTAGCATCAATTTTCATTCTCTAGAAGCGTTTCTAAAATTTTCACATTCAGTAACGAATAAATGTTCAGTCACTTTACCTTATCAATATGATATAAAGGTGGTTATAAATAATGATTACTATTGTTTCTAGGTTGTAAGTAGCTGACAGGATTTCACAAAATGAATGATTTTATCTTCTTCCGAAACACTTCTTACTCTTACTTTAGTCAAGTACACAAATATGATTTTTTTTCAACAAAAAAAAAACATATTAAACAACATACCACAGAAAAACTTTCATTCCACATCCTGCTTAAAACAATTTACATCAAGATTTCAATGCTTACCAAATGGTGAAGGTTGAGGCATCACAGGATCTAGAAATAAAATTAAATAACTGACCATGTATACGTGAATTTATTCACTAAGTAGATAACTAAGATTGCAAGTATATAATGATTGTTAGGAAAAACAATTTTAAACAATGAGTATCATGAAAAACCACAATGTACTGCACTCAACTGCTTATACTTCGACTTCACTTACAACTAATATCAGTAAACATTGAAATAGTCAAGTACATATTACAGCATTATGTACATAAATTTACAAATAATCTGTTAGACAAACATTTATACAGAATAGCTTAAAAAAGATTTTTGACCAGTCACTTTGAAAATTTTATACCACGTGCATAACTTAAATTCATCTACCCCCCCCCTCCTCCCAGAAGATTGTAGTTTTAACAGTCAATTCTTAAGACCAAACCTAACTTATCTATGAGTAAGCAGTCATTGTTTACCATAATATTAGAGGGAACAAAGGTCTACATACTCATCCTTGTCCATCAGTCCTTTAATGTTGAGGGGTAGAATGGAAGTGTGGATCTCGTTTATAGTCATTACTGTGACAGAAGGAACTAAGCTTTATGATATTTGGTGGTTAACATATATGATATATCATCTTAAAATATTAGCTACGGTATCCGTAGTAATAGTAGATGGTAGAATCTAAAATAAATAATTTTGAAACAAATTGAGAGATAAATTATGACATACAGCCTTGAGGATTCCATGGTTGTGGAGGCATCGGATATGTGTTATTATTCATCATGGGGATTGTTGGTATTGGCATTGGAACTTGAGGATGAGCAGGAGGAACAGGGTTAACACGGTTAGCATAAGATGGTTCAGGTCGAGTAGGGACTGAATAAAAACAACAGAAAATAAAATAGCATGTGTTAGCTAATTTCAAATAAAATGATCAGCTATTGTATAAGATTCCGTTAGTTTTATCTTTCATCAATCACCTACAATTCATAATGTTTTTACATTAAATTATATGAAGAAGCTTTAATAAGAAGTCAGTAGGTAGATATGGCGAACAGATAGATTGAACATCAGGCAAGGGAATTAAATAATGAGTTCTAGTGAAATTTAATTGTCTTATTATTTTGTTTCTTTTTGAAGTCTATTCTCTATGCTTAGTGTTACTTATCACAGATACTACAATTATTTCAACTTTTTTGACGCTTATCTAGTTAATTTCAATTCACTACGCTGATATGGTGTGGGAACTTGGTTTGATACACATTAGTGATAAGCTTTTACGTCGATTGTGACTAATTTTGCTCTAATTACTGCTTTTCAGTTATCCTAAATAGTAATACGAAAAAGAACACTGAAAAAATTTCAAATCAATTAACTTATTTACCAAAGGGTTTTTAAAAATACAATAAAAAAACGGGACTTAAATGTTAAAGTAATCAAGATGGAAACAAGCGAACAGGCAGCTGTGCAAAGCTTTAAACAGAATTTTTAACTTGCCGGATGGTTTCGGAAAGACTTGTTGATCTGAAACACGAACTCGGCTTATATTTGTTGCGATATCAGACATTAATTCATTTTTCTCAGTAGTACGTGCAGCGCAGAAATCTTCAATCTTCCAAATGTGAAAATGATGGGAGAAATATACAAAAAAAAGTAAGAAACGAGTATGTTTGTTTAAAATCTAAATTAAAATTGTAACTGTTTACTTAATATCGGTTAGACATATCAGCAACTCAATCATCATACATTACTTGGTTACCAGAAATAAATTTGCAGTAAAGTTGTAATGAAATTTTATGTATGAATCCATTACCTTTGTAATGATACTATGAATATTTAATTGTAGATAATTAACAACTAAATTTACTGAATACTGGGACTTGTCTAGAGGTTAAGAGTTCGCGCGCGAGACCGATAGGTCCTTGGTTCGAATCTCGTGAGGTGGGATCGTGGATGTGAGTTGCTGAGGATTCCCATACTGAGACAAAACGCCCGTCCAGTGCTTCCAGGTTTTCAATGGTGGTCTAACATTCATCGATTTATGATCTCAATGAAAAATGTAACCATCTCCACAACCTCACACTGGTAATTAACAGCTATATTAATTGAATGCTGGGACTTGTGTCTGTAAGAAATATCTGGAGTAAAACATTCAAAACACTAAATCCTTAACTTAACTATATGTGAATCTAGATCCAAATTACGGATATATTTAAGACCTAGATTTAGGAAACGATAATTAAGGCTTTTAAGTATGTCGTACCTGCCATATTTAACATCACATCACATCGAACAAACTTTAGTAGTTAAATAAACACCGTTTCAGATATTCAACACCATAACACTAATAGAGTGGAATGAAACTCTTAAACTGTACTAAAATAATAATGACCGAACAATAAATTCCAGCTTCCAAACATAACAAACACAACATCACCAGAACAAATCAGGATTCAAAGATGATATCAGAAAGGTGTCAGTAAATAAAGCTAAAGCCAAATAACATAATTTGCATTCATACAATGACTTATTTATTGAAAGTTATAGTGAAACTATATGAAGTAATAGAGAGTACAGAATCAGTTGTATATTTTCCCATTAAAGAGTCCAAAACAGTAATTCATAATCATTACAAATAGGAAATATAAAACTGTAAATATTTGTTTCACGTCAATTTACCTTACACTGGGTATTCACACAAATCTCAGTAAGCTCAGCGTAAAATTTCGTGGCATCACGAACAGCTTCTGTAAGTGCAGAATACTCATCTGCAGCCAGGTTAAGCATTGTCAATAGTCCTTTATCTTTTGAATTACCATCGGACGCACCATAAAACATATCAGCTTTTGTTTGTAAGTCATTTAATAAACCTTCTTGTTTGTTTAAATTTTCTTGAATAAGTTCACGCACAGATACCATTTTTTCCTCAAGCATATCAGTAGCAATTTGTAAATCAATTGTTTCATTATGTTCTCTATAGTACGTCAATAGCTTTTTAACTGTTGAAAAATACAAATACATATTAAGTATTCATAAGGGAGTAACCTATTCCAAATTAAAGACTTTATTCATAAAAGTTATTAACGCTAACAGAAAGTGATACTGTGGGATAATGGGTTTTAGCAATTGAATTAACACATGCAAAGCATTTTTAGATACAAAACTATTTTCACTTGAGATATGAACTGGGTCGGTGTCTACAATGAGTAACAATGTATCACTTGTGTAATAAATACAATTCTGTGTTGGAAATCATTCATTGGGTTGAGTCAATTTTTCAGTCTTGTGAGTAGCTTCCTATCTATTGATCAAGATTTCATTCATAATGTTAACAAACGAAATGTTTTCATTCTAGCTTGGGAAACCCATCTTCATAACACTAATCAGTGTGCAACGCAAATGTGCACAAGTCGACTTTATAACAAGGTAAAATAAATAATAGTTTTCCACTTTTTTGTAGACAACTTCTGACTTTCTGATTCAATCTGATGAGCAGATAACCGTTAAACTGGGACTTTTTTATTGACTAATAAACTACTTAATTCTTATAATGCTTTGGATTACAACGATGAATTAAAACCCTATTAACAGAAACTGTCTATCATTCAGCAACCGCGACAATAAAAACAACTACTATTTTAAATTGAATCAATCAATAGTTATGGTGAAAGTTTTATGTGAGCGACTAAATGAAACAAAATTGAAGAAAAATATTCTCCTGACTACTAAAGTAATATAATGAAATTTCACATACACATACGCACAAATGTGTAGAGTCAAGTGACTGAAAGAAAACTTGTGTTCATTTTAAGTAAACAAAACGCAAAATAACAACTATTCTAAATAGTTCTAATGAAAGCAAATATTTGTTTTCAATTAATGTCAAAAAAGATGAGGAATAGAAAAAGCCCAACCTAGTGTTATTCAATTCCATTGCAGAACAAAGCTAATACCATATATTATTAGTTCATATTTTATAAATTCAGTAAAATAACAAGATCCATTAGTCGACAAGTTTTTAACGACGAAGTGCTAATTTTCTCGAAATACTGAAATTAAACGCGAACTATGTGAACAAAGTTCGTCTGAGGCTAATTACTTTCAACCGCAATAACCAAAAATTGCCCAAGTGAAACGAATTAATGCTTGTTTTTTTGTTCAAACAGATTTGCTTAATTTTATAAAGGATAAATGCCGCTTCCAACTTGAGCCAATAGTACAAGTCTTTTTTATAATTTGAAAAGTATTAGGAAAGTTGGGACCTTTTGAATTATTATTTAGTTTTATTGTATGGCTAATAAATGACTGTATAATTGTATTTTAATATTCTCGTCATTCGAGGCTTCCAGTAGACCTACTGTTCGCTTCACTCTTTGCCACATATGGCATGATTGTATTTAAAGTATGACTTCCTATTTGGTGTGCTATGCTGTCTGATAATTCGCGTATGTAAGTTAATGAGTGTTTGAGATAGCTGTTGGCTGTGCTGTGCTGACTGGATAGACTGGGGGAATGAAACAATATTAATATAAGCTTGGCTACTGACTTATATTCAGACTTAAGGTTGATAGAGAAAAGCTTTCGGATAAATAGATTGATATGAGTGTAACTTACGTTGCCTCAAGGTTGGTTATCCATGTCAGAAAGTAAAATTGGCCAAGTCTAGGACATTAGACTATAGACAGAATAGAATAAAGGGTTAGAAGCGAAATTCTGATTGATTCATCGAGCACGTGCTTTTTATTAGCGTCTCATGACTGAAAAGACCTTAGAAATGATACTGAATACGTAAAAAAGTGGCGAAGATTTTTGAAGATGTGAATTTGTATTTCGAGTGTAGCCGTTTTAGAATAAAACAACATAATTTCCAACTATGTCACCCGAAGTCTTGACTAACATATTACATACATCTCGTGCACCCCACAATCAGAACGTCTGAATATTAAAGCAGATCTCAGTTCAACAATCAATACCTATACAAACGGATGCCATATTATATTTCGATCATTTATAGCTTACTTTCCACTTATTTAACAAACATGAGTCAATGAAAGTTAATGGCCTAACCAACTGATTTATTATTCCACTCTAGTACTCGGTGGATCCATCAAAAGCGCATAAAGATTCAACGATTTCCATGATCGAATGAACACAACTTGCATGTGAATCTTCACCTTTGAAAGAAATGTTTCGCACATATAAATCAATAAAAAACGATATGACTCCTAGTTTACTCACTACAGGTAGTGTACATTGGTCAATATCAAGCGATCTTTTACTAATTAACGACTTACCGGGGATAAATACTCAACTTAGATCATTCAAATGAACACGGAGATTTACTAGTTTTGGACCTAAATTAGTAAGCATAGTAGCCGCATCATAATACCACACTTAAAAAACTTATCAAAATTAAGAAACAAAAGGTTACCATAACAAATTAAATCAAGAAATCTTACCTAGATCTGGTGAATAATCGACTAATTTTAACTGTTCGATGAGATCATTTCTTTCCGTTTTAATTGATTCTAGTTTGTTGCATAATTGAGTTAGTTCAGATTTTAGTTCTTCATTATTGGCTTCAGTACCAGATTCGGGAAATTTTGAATCTGACTCAATAAGCGCTTGAAGTTCATCTTCTGGTTTACTTAATATTTCAAAATGTTCTTTATGCTTTTCATATCGATCTAAAAGAGACGCATCTGTTTTCGTAGTCTAGATGAAATAAAAGAATCAAATGAGCGTAATTGAGTTTTGGAATGAGAAATTTAAAAACAAATAAAAAAGATCGCATTTTTATAAAGTATACAACTATGTAAGATTTTCAAGGTAGTACAATGAATTATGCAGTTATTCAAATGCTATTAATTCGAAAAAACTTCTTATCTATAAAAAGAAACAAAGATGTACACTCTTATGTACAAGTCCACATACTTTAGTTTTCATTTTAGCCCAGAGAGGGATGCAATCTGAAAAATAATGAAATGTTCAAGGTTGAAAGAGTCTAATCTTGTTGCTGAACTACTACACTTGAATTCGAGTACCATTATATGGGGGTACCCAAACCATTGCTTTCTAACATAGATCGTTTTGGAGCTTGAAGCACCACCAGTCAACTACTTCAAGAAACAGGAACCTATATGATTCGTAACAACATAATACTTTTTGTTTAATCCTATTTCAGTTGGCTTTAGATGTTCTGTCATGGAGTACAGATTAATATACCCCAACTGGATTGGGATCAAAACGTGAGACACATATATATTCGATGCAGACAAATCATGAAGCTATCTGATACTTGGAAGGTACATGCACGCTGATCTATACAGGTTCGGGGATCCAGAAAGAACAAATAAAGAATCTAGGCAAAAATGCTCTATTTGTGGAACCCGAGCGTAGCTCTTAACTAGATGTGGTGGTTGATCTTACCTATCGCAATAACCCAATCGAGCAATATTGCTAAGAATATTCATTACCTTATGTCCTACACTGCTAGGTAGGTTGGTTGGTGAACGGTGGGACTAAAAGTAATAACTCAAGGTCTGAGGGCGAAATCTTACTAATGATTGTACCGGTGTGTATCGCAGCATTTAGGTTTTTCCTTGAGATAATTAACATCTTCAGTGATACTGTCTTCTCACAACAGAAAGAATGGAATAGGAAACACCAGCCCTAAAAACATTGCACCACACTTTATCCCATCAATTTTCTTTTCCGGAGACAAGGCCTCTAAAGTATAGAGCTAATTCATCTACAACTACTTAAAAGCAGACCGAGTACGCAACCGGTCCCCAGGAAGTTTTCCCTTCGCATCTGTGGTCACGCTCGAAGGTCACTAAGACCATTTACTAATTTAGCTTCATCTTCAGGTTACTCGGAAAGAATTGTTCTTCGACAGTGCGGATAGCCTGGTAGTGACAACTAACTTCATACCTCTGATAGTACTCTAGATCCACTTGCTTACGACCGAATTCCTTCACTACTTCTTAATATCCCTTCTATCTCAATCATCAATCCTTCGCATATGTGTATCGTTGTACTGGGCACCATTACCGCTAACGATTCAAGTTCGCGAAACGTTATTTTTGGTATTCTGGAAACTCTGTCTAACCTACATCTCAGAAATTTCGAGGTTTGAACATTATGTAAAGATGGTTAACAAGTTTCCTTAACTAGGACTCCAGAATCTTATTCTATCGATGTACGCTGCGTCTACGTAACAAGCACAATAGATTTAAATGTGGACGCTTGATGTTCACTCAGGGACTCGGACCCAGTGCCGTTTGCTTCAAACGCCACCGCGTTATCCACTTAGATACTGAGTCCTGATAGCTACTTGCTTGTGCAATGGGGTGAAGTTTAAATTCACTTGATGTTGTTTACTTGTATCTTCCCATTGTTATTTAGGACTGCCCCAATATTGCATGAAGTCACAAGTATTATAAGCTTATAACGCACTGGAAGCACATATGCCAACAAGAGGCTGATCAATTGCAGTCCTAACTAACAATGGGAAGATACAAGTAAACAATACCAAATAAAGTCAAGAGTATATTTCAGAAATAACTAAAGAGACAGTTATTTATTCATAGAAGTGATGTTTAGTTCGGTAGGCTTAGAGAACGATGAAGAGCAACCACAACTCAAACGTAGACTGACAAAACGTTTGCTCAATGATCATAAACGATAGTAGGCAGCGAACCCAAAAGAGATGGGAAAAGAAGTGGCGATAGGCAGCTTTTCAGGCTTATAAAAAAACAGGTATTAAGAAATATGGAACGATGATTTACTCTTAACTTATGAGATTAAACAGATGGACAGAACGCTTTAGGGAACTGATTAACTGGACCTCAGATACCTTTCAGCCATGCGCTATCTCCAAACATAATGAACAGGAAATCGGCACAAGTTTCACAATTCTTAGTTATGCTGAGGAAGCTACAGCTAATCCAAAGCAAGGACGAGTAGTATGCCCGACGGATTAACTCTAGTAGTTCAGCTTCAACAGTTAGGCTGACTGAGATGTTACTCAAAGTCTTTTGATCGCTTTGAGTAACAATACCAGGTAGTTTTGGATGCGTTCCTCACCTAAATCCAAAATGTTGCTTCAGAACTAATCAACGTCAAAATCTGAATTAATGATAGGGAGTAATGTAGTTGAATGTCGACCACTTCATATATCTTGGAGGTCTTATTGGTCCTGATAGGTGCGTGTCTGACGAAAACGTGGTACGGATTCAGAAAGCTAGGTTGGCTTTAGCCAACTTGTGGGGTGGAAGAGATATCCATCCGCAAACTAAAGAATAAGTAAACTGCCAAGGTTTCAAATGATAACACAACTCAGTAGTCGAACAAGAGTTCGGGTGCTAAACTTTGATGTTAACTTATGGTGTAAAATGAAAATAATAAGCAGCTACCCAAACAGAAGTACGTATAGCGCTGTTCGAATTTAGCTCATCTATCAAAAACAGTTCTATCTACTCCGGTTTCATACATACGGTATGTGAAGACCACTGACACAACCCAACTACTCAAACCAAAGTGAAGAGGATTTCAAACCTGTGATGTAATGGTTGAAAACTGACTGCCTTAACCATTAAATTATTTCTCCATCGGCATTCAGTTGTCTGAAATCCAACTAAATTATTTGAGTTACACGATTGTTTTAAAACCATGTACTTAAGTCAAATATGAACGCTAGCCAAGTCATTATCTGGTTTTCAAATAAACTTAAATGTAACTTGCAACGCTCTAGCGTAAGCGTAGTCCCCATATTTAGCTGCTTTTGTTTTAATAGAATGGTCAGTTGTTTTTCAATAAAGCCATACAATGTATTTTAAAATAAAGCAGTGTTTGCGTCCTTCCAATACACAACATACAAATCAAAATACTGAACGAGAGGTTTTGTACGCCTAAACACATTTATTCTAAATAACGTCTGATCACCGTGAGGAAAGTTGGAAAATTTGGAAGTAGTTAGATGATAACATGTTGTAATGGGATAAATGAAGGTATAGATTGGTATCTCTGTTTTGTAACACAATTTAATATGTGAAGTCTGTCAGATCATGTAACGAATCGCCTTTAAATCAAGAACAGAAGAAACTGGTAAACTTAATGTAGATTATTCAAAAGTATCATTTATATGAATACTAAAACGCATTTATTTCATGAAATTTTATTGATACTATCTTTCAGTACCACTTTTTTTATCACTATCAAAACTTTTTCCCTTTTCCATTCAAAATGTTATTTTATTCAGGAATGTTAATAATTTTAATTTCTTACAAAAGAATAGTAACCGACTACAGAACAATGAATTGCTTACCTGTTCAAGTAAATTCAAACATTTTTGTATATCAGAACGCCATAATTTGTTTAATTCACTTGATGGTTTCCGTGACCAACGTTCACCATATTGTTTTCGTAAACTATTATCAGAATTCTCTTCATCATCTAGTGAACTTTTCTCCTAAATAATTGAAATAGAACGGTATTGATTTGAAAATAAATAAATTTGTATAGAAAACAAGGAAACAGATTTACTCTAATTAAGAAACATTAAAAGATTATCTCGACTAAGTACATACATTCTTGAGTTATTACGAGTCTGTGACAGGATTGTCTAGGTATTCAAACAGTAATGACATAAAATCAGCTCATTGAAATTAAAATAAATTCAATACAACTCAGTAACCACGTACAAGTTTTTAAGTATTTCGCTTCACATTTCTCTTAGGCGCGGAAGTTAGTGATACTGCTTGGCTAACATGTTGAAGTGGAGCAAGACTCAATTTGGTACCCAATGTTTCGAAATAACCATGCTCTAACTACAAAACCACTTATTTATCGTTTTTTACAAAAAATAATCAGATCATTATGTAAACGAGTATAATTTAATAAATTACAAGTCATATTATTTATGAGTGGAGTAAAGGTACTCTTGAATAAACCAACTCAAACTTGTGTTACACAATTATAAAGAATCAATTGTTCGATCTATTGTTACTAAAGCATACTTTTAAGAGAGAAAGAGACAAAGACAGCCGGATAGTATAATTATTTTAAGTTAAAATATATGTAACTAAAAACAGAGTATATGAACCCAGATTCAATTTCAGAACTATAAATTTAAATGAATATTTATAACTCTGAATTAATTCAGTGTTTTTACAATTTCAATCAAATATTTTGAAAGCTTACAGCCTCAATAATTTCCTTATTACGTTGAACGCATTCAGGTATTGACAGTAGTTGCTGATATAATTTTTCTACCCCACCATCTCGACGTACAGAAGAAGCTTTGGATAAAATATTACTCGTAATTGAGCTTAATCCATTGGCAAGTAGTGCTGCCGGTAAATTGTATGAAGCCAACACTCTGAAAATATCGAAAAATAACACCATTAATAGCTCGTTACATAGAAAATGGTATAGAAGATATGAAATCATTTTCACACAAAAAACTTGCGACTAGAATAAGGGATGGTTGAAGAAAAGAAGCTTCATACAGCCAATTTCGTAGTGATGCAACAAAAAGATTTTCTAGAGCAAGAACCATCGGAAAATGGCGGCAAAATCGTCGAAGTAAACACTACAATCTTGGTGAAACCGAAATAGAGTACCTGCAATACCTAAACTAATAACCAAAACTCTTACAATTGACATGAAATAAAGTTTGACTCTAAAGTATTATTCCACTTTCCACTCCAAAGACAATACTACATTTAGGTGTAATCAGAGAAACATAACACGAATTGTTTAACGAAAGTAAAAAGCATAGTAGGCAAATATGAATATCAAGAGAAAAACTTGGAATAATACAAGTATAGTAGATCCAGGAGGTTCTGGGTCACAAGAATCATCATCATAAGGAATGGATCACTATCGGAAACCCAGACAAGATTCAAGAAAGGAAGAACAAGAAGACGGCATTCAACAACAGTCAAACAAGAACACAGAAAGTCGCGGCGCAGGCTGAATACACAGAAGCAAACAATCAGGTGAAGAAGAGCACTGACGCTTATAACAAAAACATGGAAGACCTAGCAACGACAGCGAAAAAAAAGCTGCAAGAGAAGGAAATATGAAACAACTAAATGACACAACAACAAAAACTGACAGGGATACATAGTAAACCAGAGAGAACGGTCAAAAGCAAAGAAGGATAGACAATCACTGAGACTCAAGGAACAGATAAGTGGGACAATTCGAGAAACTCTTGAATAGACCAGCTCCATTGAATCCATCGGACGTCGAAGCAGCACACACACACCTGCCTATAGATGTTACTCCATCAACGATCGAAGAAATCCGCATGGCCATCAGACAAATCAAGAGAGGGAAAGCAGCTGGACCGGACAATATACCAGCTCAAGCACCAAAGTCACACACAGAAGTTCCAGACTGTTAGTGTGTGACTTATGCCCCTCCACGAGGGTAACAAGAGTAAGTAAATAAGCAAATAAGTATGCTCAAACACCACTAGGAGATAAATGACAACGTTTACACGTAAACAGATAAAATGACATATGTACAACTAACAACAATACATACAACAACTAAACTGTAACAGTGAGCAGTTATTATTAGGAAATTCGATATTGCTAAAGATTCCATAAAAACAAGCGACATCTGCGATAGTCATTTATATTACGCTGTTATGTTTGTGATGTTTGATGCGATCAAGACAAAGATAAATAAGACGTTTATTTGACCAGTGGAGCATGAGGGATAGATAATTACTTATTAAAGGGTAAAGTTTGAAATAGTCCTGTCCACAATGCTGTGGTTAAAACATAAATTTCTAGCATTTGGTCACTCAACATCCTAATGTTGTTTATGTGTTGTAGAACAATCAGGTAAATAATAATGGTGTTAAGAGTTGAATTCTAGAAAAAGTTAATGGGACTGTTAATCATCATCGATTAGGGCAAATGGAACATACACCAAGCAGCTCCAACCACCACCCCTATCTCGATGTTTTAATTGGGAATTTCGAACATAATCTTTATTTTAAAACATTTTTGCATGGTTTTCATTTGAGCCTGATCCTTTAATATTTTAGTTTCTTCCACACTAATTTTTTATTCCTGTTTTGACTGAAAATGATAACTTGAATGAATTCAGATTTATATAGGAGGACCGAATAGATTGAATGACAGTGAGAGACAGTCACCATATACACAGAATTACTCGAAGTTTAAAAATCAGCCATAATCGGGTTTCAAATGTCTGGTTCTGGTATTAATTTTTTTCTTATTTCCGTGATTACACAGGTTGCATAAAAAAGATGCACTCACTCATTCACTTTAGTAGATTCTTCTCGTAGCCTACAAACTTCGCTATCGATAAGAGATGCACGAACACCTTTGGCAGTGTTAACAGCTTCTGTAACAGCGATAGGAAGTAGATTTTCGAAGTAATCTTTGGTATTCGATGAAGACAAAGGGAATGTGAGTGGGTTTTTTTTAATGACATCAACACTTTCAACAGGAGCAAGAGTTCCTCTAGGCGGTACCTTTTCGTGATATATATGATCATTGTCTTTTACTGCAACTGATTCTTCTTGTTTAAATTGTTCCACTAAATTCTTTCGCTGAAAACAACTACTTCGAGCAACACCTTTGATTAGCTCATAGGCAAACTGCATTAAGAAAAAGCAGGACAAGATAGGAGCGCGTAAAAACATGAAACATGAAAATTTAGGTGTTAATGCAATAGAAAGTTTTGAAAACAGGAAAGTAATGCATTATAAGTATTAGTTTTATCTTCTAGATATTTTTAATTGTCTCTGAAACGGTAACACAGGTTTTGAAGTAAGTCAACAGTGTTAGACTTTGTATTCTTATTTATATTAAGTTACAAGTCGAACAATAGAATTTAAAAATATTTTTATAACAATACCAAAAGCTAATCTGTGATATTTGAATAGATAATGTGAAATTTTAACAAAGTTAGAATTTGACAATTACACAATGGGATAACATGAAACATCCATAAAAATAAAAACAAAGTATATATTCAACAATTTTAAAGAATGAATCAATACATGAACTTATTCATCTATCCAGGAAGTGATTAAAATATAATATCAGATTTTAATTATTCTGAATAAAATTTTTGAAAATAAATCCATCGCTAGTATAGGGAAATTCGTGGAGACCGTAGAATTTTTAGTTTAAATTAGGAACTGACTTATTCACGAAACTCCTATAAAATTTGAATTATTCTCTAATAAGAAGTGATTACAACAATTTGGCACACCATCATCGCGCACGAACACCTAACCTTTAGACCACAGAGTTGAGATTCGACAACGTATAGGTCTAGCAACAATCACTCCACGATACTGCGCGATCACCTTTGTATTTGGTAGTTAACTCTCACACTTGATACTGTTGAACTCCACTATGGCTTCTCACTAGAACTCCGGGAATTTTCACCCGAAGCTCGTTATAAGTGGGAAAATAATAATTATAGGTATGTTGCAGTAGTACTTTGGATCGATTGAAGTTAAACTTGCACACCATTGAATGCTGGCTCAGTGATCTATAGGTTAAGTATTCCCGTGCGAAACCGAAGATCTAGGGCTCTGTTTCTGGCGGTGAGGTTGTGGGTGTGCGCAAATGAAAAGTTCCATGCCAGGATGAAACGGCTGTTCAGTGTTTCCAGGTTCTGAACAGTTATCTTTTGTTGTCTCACTAAAATTCACCAGTCTTCACAATACTATGCTGAAAATAATACTCAGTTGAGAGCCTACTTTACATGCCAAAACGAATTGTCATCAGGAAAAATGACAACTGATGATTAGCATATGATGACATCTAATGAAGAATAGTCAAAGAATCCCTTTAAAACAATGCTGTTCTTCTAAAAAAAATCCTCCAATGATATGAAAATCTTTTCGTTGAACCAATTTGTGATTTAATGGATGAAAAACAAGCTTTTATTCGTTGACCGGACACTTGAGACACAATATCCTAAAAACACATCATTCACAAGAAATACTATCTAAAAATACTAAAAAGTCAGTCACCTGAGAATGAAATGACAATTTCTTTATCTGTAGTCTCCATTTCTAACTATCCAATATTACAAACGCTCTACATCAATATGAATCAGGTTTTAGGAATTAGAGGAGAGTTCACAAAATATGATAACTTCAAATAGACCATGTTCAGTTATTGTTTTCATCTACTGGAAGAAAGGCACTTCGTGAAAGGTCAAAGTGAAATAAGTCTAAAATTACTGCTATTCCAATATGTTTGTAGACTAAAATGATTTTCTTTAAATTTGGATTCAATAAAATAAACGTAAATGCAGATAATTCTCCTGCCCGCTTACTATAGTGACAAGTTGAAGATTGCATAGAAGCCTTTCTTGACAGAGAACCCAGGAGTCAGTCAGTCAGTCAGCTACAACGTAGGACCAGGCACATATATGCATTGGTCCAAGTTGCCATACCTCATTAGCACAACAAGACGAACAACGAATTCATAGAAGTAGTTAATTTAATAACTCCGCCTGTAGCTCCTCTGGGGGTTACTGCCGGTCCCAAGCCCGGGTAAAGGAGGAGGGTTGGGTATGGGGTTAGCGACCCCATCCCGTAGATAATCAACTCGCTAAAAAAACGCTAACCAGAAAAAATCATTCAAACCTTTCAAACTCTGCCCTGGGAGTAGAAGGAATAATTATGACGTCTCATGATGAAAGCCGAGTTCATTCGGAAGTCATGAGGCCGATGCACCTTCTTACAACCAGAGCGACAATTTTTATAGGTACATGGAATGTCCGAACAATGTGGGAGACCGGAAGAGTTTTCCAAATTGCTGCAGAAATGAGAAAATACAACCTGGAGGTTCTTGGAATCAGCGAAACACATTGGACGCAGGTTGGACAACAACGACTGTCTTCAGGAGAACTTCTGTTATACTCCGGTCATGAAAAAGAAAATGCCCCACATACACAAGGAGTGGCATTGGTGCTGTCCAGAAAAGCACAAAATGCACTTATAGGATGAGAATCTCATGGACCAAGGATCATCAAAGCCTCCTTCAGAACAAAGAGAGAGGGCATTACAATGAACGTCATCCAATGCTATGCGCCTACCAATGACTACGATGAAGACGCTAAAGACCAATTCTACGATAGGCTGCAGTCGATCGTCGAGAAGTGCCCAACCAAGGACCTGACAATTCTGATGGGAGATCTCAATGCTAATGTTGGAATGGACAACACTGGATACGAAGACGTCATGGGACAACATGGACTGGGAGGAAGGAACGAAAATGGTGAGAGATTTGCAAACCTATGTGCCTTCAATAAACTGGTCATAGGTGGCACCATATTCTCACACAAAAACATACACAAAGCCACTTGGATTTCACCGGATCACACTGCACAGAATCAAATCGACCATATCTGCATCAACAAAAAGTTCAGGAGGACGATGGAGGATGTGAGAACCAGAAGAGGAGCTGATATAGCATCCGATCATCATTTGCTGGTCGCCAAGATGAAACTAAAACTCAAGAAGCAGTGAACAACGGCGCGGACAACATCACAAAAGTTTAATACGGCCTTTCTTCGAGATGCTGACAAACTCAACAAATTCAACATAGCCCTCAGCAACAAGTTCGAGGCCTTTCATGACCTACTCAATGGAGAGGGGACTACCATGGAGAGCAACTGGAAAGGTATCAAGGAGGCAATCGTTTCAACGTGTCAAGAGGTTCTGGGCCAAAAGAAGCACCATCATAAGGAATGGATCACTGTTGGTACACTGGATAAGATTGAAGCAAGGAGGAACAAGAAGGCAGCAATCAATATCAGCCGAACCAGAGCGGAAAAAGCCAAGCCACAAGCCGAATACACAGAGGCAAACAAGCAAGTGAAGAGGAGCATCAGAACCGACAAACGTAAATATGTTGAAGATTTAGCAACGACAGCGGAAAAGGCTGCAAGAGAAGGAAACATGAGACAATTGTATGATACAACAAAGAAACTTGCTGGAAATTACCGTAAGCCAGAAAGACCAGTGAAAAACAAGGAAGGCAAAGTAATCACCGACATTGAAGAACAACGAAACAGGTGGGTAGAACACTTCAAAGAACTCTTGAATCGACCAGCCCCACTGAACCCACCCAACATCGGAGCAGCACCCATGGACCTCCCAATCGACATTGGCCCACCAACAATTGAAGAGATCAGCATGGCCATTAGACAAGCCAAGAGTGGCAAAGCAGCGGGACCAGACAACATCCCGGCAGAGGCACTGAAAGCAAATGTAACAGCAACTGCCAAGATACTCCACATCCTCTTCAGTAAGATTTGGGACGAAGAACAAGTACCAACAGACTGGAAAAAAGGACTTCTGATCAAGATACCAAAGAAAGGCGATCTGAGCAAGTGCGACAACTACAGGGGCATCACTCTCCTCTCAATACCAGGAAAAGTCTTCAACCGAGTATTGTTAAACAGGATGAAGGATTCAGTGGACGCCCAACTTCGAGATCAACAAGCTGGATTTCGTAAGGATAGATCGTGCACAGATCAAATCGCAACTCTGCGGATCATTGTGGAATAATTAATCGAATGGAATTCATCATTTTACATCAACTTCATCGACTACGAGAAGGCATTTGATAGCGTGGACAGGACGACACTATGGAAGCTTCTTCGACACTACGGTGTGCCTGAGAAGATAGTAAATATCATACGGAACTCCTATGATGGACTAAACTGCCAAATCGTCCACGGAGGACAACTCACCGACTTCGTTTGAAGTAAAGACCGGTGTGAGGCAAGGTTGCTTACTCTCACCGTTTCTCTTTCTCCTGGTAGTCGACTGGATTATGAAGACGTCAACATTTGGAGGAAAGCACTGGATACAGTGGACAGGCAGGATGCAGCTTGACGATTTAGACTTCGCGGATGATCTGGCTCTTCTATCACAAACGCAACAACAAATGCAGGAGAAAACGACCAGTGTGGCAGCAGCCTCAGCAGCAGTAGGTCTCAATATAAACAAAGGGAAAAGCAAGACCCTCCGATACAATACAATATGCACCAATCAAATTACACTTGACGGAGACGCTTTGGAGGATGTGGAAACCTTTACATATCTGGGCAGCATCATTGATGAACACGGTGGATCAGATGCAGATGTGAGGGCGCGGATCGGCAAAGCAAGAGCAGCATACCTACAACTGAAAAGCATCTGGAGCTCAAAACAATTGTCAACCAACACCAAGGTTAGAATTTTCAATACAAATGTCAAGACAGTTCTACTGTATGGGGCGGAGACGTGGAGAAATACGAAAGCCATTATCCAGAAGATACAAGTGTTTATTAACAGCTGTCTATGCAAGATACTTCGGATCCGATGGCCAGACACTATCAGCAATAAGTTACTGTGGGAGAGAACAAACCAGATTCCAGCAGAGGAAGAAATCAGGAAGAAGCGCTGGAAGTGGATTGGGCACACCTTGAGGAAATCAGCTGATTGCGTCACAAGACAAGCCCTCACATGGAATCCTGAAGGTCAACGGAGAAGAGGAAGACCAAAGAATACATTACGCCGAGAAATAGAGACAGACATGAGAAGAATGAACAAGAACTGGATAGAACTAGAAAAGGAAGCCCAGGACAGAGTGGGTTGGAGAAAGCTGGTCGGCGGCCTATGCTTCATTGGGAGTAACAGGCGTAAGTAAGTAAGTAAGTAAGTTAATTTAATGGTGGTAATATATAAAAGAAAGATTCTGTATAAAGAAGAAAGAAAGATATGTAGCAATTTTAATCTCATAGTTTAAGGGAAGACAGAAAGTGTATACACCTACGCCATTGTGATCGATTCTGAGCCATGTCACCTAGTCTCCAACCATTGGTTACAATAGTCACGCAAACCCCAACCAAGTAGTCTGCATCTACCAACATGGTTCAGACTAGAAGTTAGTGACTTCAAGTACCGATGCCATGTTTTGGTTTGGCCGTGCCTAACTCTCTCCCAAACTCCGCCTGTAGCTCTTCTAGAGTTACTGCCGGTCCCAAGTCCTGTTAAAGGAGGAGGGTTGGGTATGGGGTTAGCGACCCCATCCCGTAGAAAACTAACTCGCTAAAAAATCGCTAACCAGAAAAATAATCCAAACCAATTAAACTCTGCCCTGGGAGTTGAAGGAAGAAATATGACGCCTCATGATGAAAGCCGAGATTCTTTGGAAGTCAAGAGGCCAATGCTCCTTCTAACAACCTGAGCAACACTCTTTATAGGTACATCGAACGTCCGGACAATGTGAGAGACAGGGAAGACCAGTCAAATAGCAATCAAAATGAGGAGATACAAATTGGCAGTACTTGGAGTCAGCGAAACTCATTGGACACAAGCTAGACAGCAAAGGTTAGATGGGGGAGAGATGCTACTGTATTCTGGTCACGAAGAGGAAAATGTTTCACACACTCAGGGAGTTGCTATAATGCTGTCCAGAGAAGCACGAAATGCACTTTTAAGATGGGAATCTCACGGATCGAGAATTATCAAAGCATCATTAAAAACAAAGAAGGAGGAGATCACAATGAATGTTATCCAATGTTATGCACCCACAAATGATAGCAACGACGACGATAAAGATCAGTTCTATGAGAGGCTGCAATCAATCATAGCTAAGTGCCCAAGAAAGGACCTCACCATTCTGATGGGAGATTTAAATGCTAAAGTCGAACTGGACAACACAAGATATAAAGGGACGACATGGACTGACTGGGATAAAAGAACGAGAATGACGAGAGATTTGCAAATCTATGTGCATTCAACAAACTAGTTATAGGCGGCATAATATTCCCACACAAGCGCATACACAAGGCTACATGGATCTCACCGGACCATACCACAGAGAATCAGATAGACCACATCTGTATCAACAAAGAATTCCGAAGGTCAATGGAAGATGTGAGAACCCGGAGAGGAGCTGACATAGCTTCAGATCACCACCTGGTTGTGGCCAAGATGAGACTGAAGTTAAAGAAACACTGGACAACTGGACAAACAGCACTACAAAGGTTCAATACAGCCTTCCTTCGAGATACTAACAAACTCAACCAATTCAAGATAACTATCAACAACAGGTTCCAAGCTTTACAGGATCTACTGAAAGAACAAGAAACTACGATGGAGAACAACTGGAAAGGGATAAAAAAAGCATTAACTTCAACGCGTCAAGAGGTTTTGGGCCGCAAGAAGCTATATGACACAACGAAGAAACTGGTAGGGTAAGATAATAAACCACAGAGATAGTTCAAAAACAAAGAAGGCAGGCTAACCACTGAAATTTAAGAAACGCCTCACTGCTGTCACATATCTGTACAGTCAGCAGTACGAATTCGCCTTCGGACCTAAGGTTTGCTGCTTTTAGTCTTATCGCTCTTCAACCGATTTGCCTGGCACGGTAGTATCTCGAGGAACGATTGTTCCAGCCAGTATAGCTCGATTGGTTCATCACGATAGGCAAGCCCGACCACCACGTCAAGGTAGCAGCAACGGCCGGGTGACCCCAGGAGAAGCAAATCACATACAAATTCACTCAATTAAATATTGAGTAATTAAATGATCACTAGTGACAGCGGTTTTCAACGATCTCAAAATTACAGTTAATTAATCAGCAAGATGAGAATGCATTGGAAATCAAGCAACTGAATGCATCCTAAAAGAACTAATACGATTGGGAATTTACTGGTAGTCAGTGAATGAAAAATACTTTGAATTAATCAATAGAACAAAAATCACCTTAAATCGATATGCAAATTTTAGGAATAATTTGATTCAGCATGTGTTGTATTTGGTGATTGAGCATTATCAACGTATTCTTAACAACACAATAAAATATGAAGGCAGAGAAAACGTTTACAAGAGTGAACAGTACAAAATAGATTGCATAATATCTGATCATAGGTTCCAAACTATTCTCGGTACTTTTTCAAATCCCCTTAGCGGCTAAGAGAAAAAATCACTAGCTTTAAAGAAACATTGAGTGGTTTGCACTGATTTTACTATTTATTACATCTTGTCCCAAGTCACGCATTCAATGAATATGATCAGAATACATTACAATGACCTTGGTAAAAAAACATCCCTAACACTGAAAACTTATTTACAACTCAACCTTACGATTACTGTCTATGAAACTATAACAAACTAGTAATTTTACAATACAAATATATTAGATATATTTAGCTACATCTTAGATCACTACAATAAAGCAACCTGAGCAAGAAAGAAGTCAGAATAAGTGCCCTGTAGCTTTTTCTGATTGTTTAATTGAAAAAGATAATTAAAACGTTGAAAAAAGTAATGCAGCTTACTGATATGCGAGCTACTTGTTCCCCATACTGTTTGGCTTCGCAACAAGCTTTAGACTGATGATACTGGGTCAGAGCTTCATACAAACCTTTTTTCATGCTCAAAACACCAGACCAATCCTAATATAGGAATGATAAAAAAATTACATTACTTTTGGAACAACATTTTTAGCTCCACCTGAACACTCTGACAGGCAGTCTTCGTAAAGATTAGTCAAGGTTGATGCTATTCTTGCTAAAATCCCAGGCTTTTTCTTATCTAAGGAGGAAATATCATATTATAATACTGCATCACTACCTTTTTCAGCTTTCGAGAGGACACATTCATATGCTTGAGCAAGCATAAGATTGCTAAACAGTGTTAGTGATGATGAAGTTAAATCTGGCAGAGGTTCTTTAACCCCAGACATCAATTCTGAAGATATGTAATCAAATGTGCAGGAAGCAATCTGTAAAGAAAATTGGAAAAAGATGTGAAACACAGTGATAAAAAATATAAGTTTTTGCAATTATTCCCATGTCATATTAACATGTAGAAAGATTTGTCACGAAGTGCTCTTATCACTAATGATCACTGAACCCTGTTAATCGAATACTGCAGTGTGACTAATAAGATAAGAGATGATTCCGCTACACCATCCACTTGATGTCATGTAGTTAGAAAAAGAAATTCCACCACGAAGTGTCGGAAAATCCAAACATATTAGTAATAAAGTCTCAGGCTGAGCATGTTATCTAGGTTTCAGAGTGCATAGAAAGACAATTGGAAGCAAAAGTGAATGTTATGGATGTTGTTTAAACTTGCCATCTTTCATATTCGCATTATGATCCACAAACGACAATAGACAGGTTAGACTACGTCTTTGGAAACTTGATATAAATATATATGCACTCTATATGAGACCCCTTTGCAAGAATCAAGTAAAGCATTATATATATATATATATATATATATATATATATATATATATAGCACCATCTATATATATATATAGATTTAGTTGAACACAAATATTGGTACAAGGGGGCACCAAATACATATGCGCCACACAATAACAATCAGGCTGTGAAGAGGTAGAGAACGTGAAGTGCATGTGATAAAGAGAGGAAAAACAACGAACAAAAATTAGTGTATGAGGGTGAAATAATAATGGGAGAGGCAGTTCAGTTAGCAAAGGTACAACCAGAAAGAATCCTTTCAATTAAAGCAGTTACGTCCATTTTTTTATGAGGTAAAAGAAATTTACAGTAGGATGGCCACTGGCTTCTATTCTGAACGATATATGGTAATTTCTTAAGCCACTGTATTGCGCTATCTTTCGGACCCCAGCCAGGAAGTCGTGAAGGTCCAACAGAAGCCAGTCCTGTACAGCTTTCTTTCATACTTCGACACCATGTCAAATACTGACCACCTCTCTCCTCTTTCTTCAACTAGTCCCATCGTCGGCAAATAATGCACGACGTAGAATTCTCTAGGACAACATTTGTACGACATATCCAAACCACCAAAGTCACTGTTTCAAGATGGTAACAACAATTAGATTATCGTCTCTGCATCCGAACACACGATGCTGAACCTCTACATTACTAACATGCTGTTGCCACTGGATATCAGCAATCCTTCGGAGACAACGATCATTAAACATGGAGAGTCGTCTAACATCCTCAACAAGGAGAGGCCAGGTTTCACAAGCGTAGCGCAAAACTGCTCTCACCGACGCGTTGTAGATCCCACCTTTTACAACCAGACGAAAATCATGAAGACGTCAAGGATGACCCTATTATTATAAGCAGCTCTGGCTTTCACTATACGTGAATCGATCTCATCACTCACGCCACCACTACCACTTATGCAGCAACCCAGATACACAAACTTCCCAACTACTTTGCGTGACTATCGTAACCAATGGTTGGAGACTAGGTGACATGGCTCAGAATCGATCACAATGGCGTAGGTGTATACACTTTCTGTCTTCCCTTAAACTATGAGATTAAAATTGCTACATATCTTTCTTTCTTCTTTATACACAATCTTTCTTTTATATATTACCACCATTAAATTAACTACTTCTATGAATTCGTTGTTCGTCTTGTTGTGCTAATGAGGTATGGCAACTTGGACCAATGCATATATGTGCCTGGTCCTACGTTGTAGCTGACTGACTGACTGACCAATGGGTAATGGGACAGATAAAGTAAATCTGCTTACACATAAACTCAGGGTGGTTTATACCAATTTGGGTCATTTTTGGCGCCAGTATAATGTAAATCTGTGGAATATCTGGTTTATAACCCATTGTACAGTATGGTTCTGATATGAGTTAATGACGTTCGGTAACGCTCTATGTTCGGCAACGATTGCCTTTGAAAGATTGCGCACATCAGGTGGCAACATCATCTTAATAATGGCTAGGTTCATCAGGATGCATGCAGGAGCAATGAAGATAATTCAATTGGTTTCATCACTTTAAAACGCCAACTTCAGTGGTCTGATCGTATTCTACAGACATTATTCCAGCTATTTTCACAATACGGATCGTTTGTTGACTCCAGGACTGAGTGGAAAAGATCGAGGTGACCATTTTATGACTGACATCTTTTAGTCCAAAGCAACGCGAAACTTGTGCGATTTCATGGCTAGACACGTTATATATATAAAGGTGATACATTGCTATCCACATTATAAAAAAAATTGTATTGTTGATACCTTAAAAGATTTCAAAGCTTGTTGGAGTGAATTTTCACAATTCGGACGGCACGATTCACCAAGTTGACTGTGAGCAGCACCATAGCAAAACAAGACATTTGAACGTTCAAATTTAAGAGAGCTTTCTTCTATTAAAAAAAAAAATTAACACCGAGTAAGAACTTACTTTTGTTAGATTTTCCAGAAATATCGCTCCACTTAAAATCAACTCGTGAAGCAATATTCACATTTAGACGTCCTTCTAGCTGATACATCGCATCATGGTACCTACAAAATTATTCCAGAAACTACATGAAATAGTTAACACGAGCATTACTATAGGATAAATAGGCGTAAACAATATACGAATATTCGTCAATATATGGACGAATAGTTTGATAAAAATAGAGCGCCAAGTATAGAGAAGTCATTATATGTAAAAATTATATTCGAAATAATCCCAGCGATTGAAATTTAAATAATTCCAACGTTTCGTCCGAAAAACTTGTCTGGACGTCTTCAGGGTAATAATCAAAATCATCAAAGAAATATGTAGCGTTTGAGGATCAAATCATTTCTATACTGTGCTAATCCAATTATATTTGGATGTTGAGCTTGGTGAATAGAACAACATGAGTCAGTTAAATGCGAATGATGTAAAAAGTTCACGATGTGAAAATAAATGACTGGATGAATTGTGCGCGTGTATGTATGTGTACGCTTGGGTTATTAATAGTTGATATTAGGTGTTAATATGTTTTTATAAGAAGGAAAAAATAAAAAAGCAAGTTGAATGTTGGAAAATTGCTTTTGAATCACTTATGTGCATGTAACATGAGAATGTATTGCGCTAATATATCACATAATTCTGATAATCTTCGTCTTCTTATTACACTATCGAAACATGAGAATCATCCAATACATAATTGTATTACTAAAATAACCCACATTAATTTCAATCAGCATAACGATGAATGTGAAATAAACAGGTTGGAGAAAAAAGGGGGCTAATTACTTCTTAACGAATATTTGCCAAGTACTTGCCAGTTGAATACCATCTTTTTAGTCCAGGCTGTTCTTGCTCGAACATATATATAGAGATTCTGCTATCAATCCTTTATGAGTGTTAAAACCTTTCTCAAGTATTTTGATCCCTTCAAAATTATTCTTCTGTCCTGTTTCCAACGCATATAACGCTATATCCGACTTATTCCAAAGTTTATTTGGGCCAACCGAGGATTTAGGAACATTTCAAACATTGTTTGTGTTCCTTTAACCTCATATTCAATTGTCTGAGAGTTTCTCCCACATACGTTGCATCACAATCATGACAGTTGATCTCATAGACAATATTCTGTTGTTTTTCATTTGGGAACCTATCCCTAACTTTCACTAATGCTGATCTTAAGGTGTCGCAAGCCTTAAAATACACTCTTATATAGTGGTTGTTTAGAATCCGCTTGATTTCTTTGAATGTTTCACCACGGTATGGGATGACCACAGTGGACTTCCAATCTTTCGGTATACATTTTAGTTCAGTTTTTCTTTCATTTCTAATAATCTTAAAAAACTCTTCGGGGTAGTTGTTATCTCTAAGTATAGACAAAACTTCCTTCAATTCAACCTGTTGGTCTTCTTTATCTGCGACGAGATTAATACTTCTGTTAATTAATTTTTTTTACAACTATGACTTTCGTACGAAACGCATGACCTGAACTATAATCTAAGTATCTCTCAGAATGTGTTGATTTCCTGAACTTATTATTATGTCTTCGTTCAACTAAACAATCGAGAAACGCTAGTTTGTGGTCATCAAATTCTATTTCTTTTGTTTGCTTAATGCTCTCTAAAGTGATGTTTATATTTTCAAACAATTCTTTTAAACCATTCTACATACCGTAATCAGATTTTTGGTGGACATACACATCTTGTGGTTGCACTGGCTTCTAGGGAATACATGAATAAATTCACTACAATCGTAGAAACTGGTAAACCCATTGTATACCTCCTTTCTGTCTGTAAAGGTCTCTCCAATATGGGAATACGATGAATCGTAAACATAATCTTAAGCAATGAATAACTTCGAATGTATCTAATGGATATCGTAAATTCAAATCTGAGTCAGATTCCAAACAATCATAAATAGTATCCAATACTCTATTGACAGGTACATTAGTAAATAAGGAAGATACATCAAAACATGCCATCATTTCATCCTCTTCTATATGGACGGTATCGACATTATTCTTGAATTCGATGGCGTTTTTAATTCCATGATGATGGTATCCGGTCAGGAAATGTTGAGTATTTCGCGTAGACAACTTTATAAATATTTGTACTTACTTGACGATTGTTGTAGTGGTTCTCCACGTTTCAGCTCCATACAGTAGGACTGTTTTGACGTCCGTATTGAAGATTCTCTCAAAGGAAGAACAGAATATTGTCTATGAGATCAACTGTCATGATTGTGATGCAACGTATGTGGGAGAAACTCCCAGACAATTGAATGTGAGGTTAAAGGAACACAAACAATCTTTGAAATGTTCCTAAATCCTCGGTTGGCCCAAATAAACTTTGGAATAAGTCGGCGATAGCGTTTCATGCGTTGGAGACGGTAAACACGATTAAATTGCGGTTTAGAGAAGTTCACCTTTCACACAATTCGCTACAAATCACATCAGCGCAGGGAGGAAGGAAGTTCAATATAGCTAATAGCAACAAATTCCAAGTCCGACCATATCTGCTAAGTCAGTCAGTCAGCTATAACGTAGGACCAGGCACATATATGCATCGATCCAAGTTGTCATAATTCACTAGCACAACAAGATGAACGTCAAATTCATAGTAGTTACTTCAATGGTAGTAATACACAAAAGAAATATTGTGTGTCTTCTAAATGAGGAAACCACTAAGGAAAACAATTGGAAGCGAACTAAAGAAGGGACAACCTCAAAATGCTAGGCGCTTGTCCCCAAGAAGCATCATCGTAGATAATGGATCTCTGTGGTCTAGGCAAGAATCAAGAAAGAAAACATCAGTCAAGACTAAGGAAAGACAGAACACGAACTGGATATACACAAGTAGACAACCGAGTGAGAAAAGCATTAGATCAGACAAGAGGAAATATGTAGATGACCTGACAAACAGCAGAAAAATCTGCAACAGAGAGAAATATGAAAGAACTATATGATACAGATAAGAAACTTGCAGGGAAAAGTAGTAGGAATCAATTAGAAATGAAGAGGAAACGTTAATCACTAAGTAGGTATCATTACCAAGTCTTGATTTGATAATTTTGAATAAATTGAGCATTGGGTAGATTGTTATAAATAAATAATATATTTGTAATATCCCAATGAGTAGAAAAAAAAATCACTAAGGTTAAAAAGCAGAAAAACAATAGAAACTAACAAAACCATCAGACAAATGGGTTAAGGCAAGGCAGCAGGAGTAAACAACATACCAGCCGAAGTGCCAAAGTTAGATGTACAAACAACTACAAAGATGTCCCATGTTCTATTCAGAAAGATTTGGGAGGAAGAACAAGTAACAAAAGACCTAAAGGAGGGATACCTCATCAAGATACTGAGGAAGGATTTTATTAATTGTGAATACTACAGATACATCACACCACCATCAGTTACTGAACCTAATGAGAGATTCAAAAGACGTCCAAATGAGTTTAAAAAGCTGGCTTTTGTAAGGATAGATTATGTATCGTCTAAATCCCTACACTCCTACGAGGGACAGGACTGAAAAGTCGTGCATGGAGGACAACCCAGAGATGCATTCCAAGTGAAGATCGGTATCAGACAAAGCTGTTTGGTCTCGTTCTTTCCCCTTCTTCTGGTAGTCCACTGAATTATGAAGACATCTCAGGGTAAGCACGGAATACAATGGAGAGATTGAATGGAACTAGACAATTTGGATTTCGATGACCTAGCTTTTGAATCTTCTCTCAACATCAACGTTAAAACAATTTTATTATAGAAGGCTAAGGCTTGAAGAACTAACTCCATCACCATTTATAAACAACTGGCAAGGCAAGATTTTTCAGATTCGCTTATAGATCATCAGCAATACCCTAATGAAGGGCAAACCGACCACCAGTTGAGGAGGTTAAAAAAAGATGTGGTTGATGGATGGGACACTTAACAAACCATAAAACTGTATCACAGGGCAAGCTTTAATTTGGAACCCTCCAACCAAAAAGAAAAGATGAGTCCAATTTAATTTGACTAATCTGATAGTAGCTTTCAGCCTGGCAAGTGTACCTCAGACGTAAATATACAAATCTTTAGTTTGGTGCAGCCAAGAACGTATAAACTACCAACATTGTAAAACGTATGTACGCTCACTTCGCAACACCGGAAACAGAAAAAAAGACTGGTAAAATTTTATAATAGGCGTATGAGACACAAACCGAAAGTAATTTTTAAAAATGAGTGGAAAGCGTTTACAGTTTAGAGAGTGTTAAGTGAATGCATCCATGCAACTATGACAGATGTATTACATAGTTTGAAACCAGCCATCTGGAAACCAACTCACTTGGAAAGTACAGAGCTATGGACTCAGATCTGCGTCACAGTATTAGTGTTGGAGATACTGATACTACCTGACAGCCTACTGGTTGCCACCATCAACCTAACCAATAAGCCATTATTTCGATAGCCGCATGGAAGAAGTCTGCTCCTTTTTGCGTCAGTACAGTTTTACTTACTTACTTACTTACGCCTGTTACCCCTCGTCGAGGAGCATAGGCCGCTCACCAGCATTCTCCATCCAACTCTGTCCTGAGGTCAGTACAGTTTAGAATCACTGAATTCACTGACCTGATTATTCTTGGTTTCTCGACATATTTTGAATGGAGTCAACACAATATAGAGAGATAGGGGGTGACTGGTCATCCATGCTACATATTTCAACTACCTCAGTAGACGAAAATCCGAAAATTAATGCGCGAGCTTACTCTCATTGACTATATCTTTTAATGCAACAGCGAAATTCTCTAACTGATGACTCTGTTGTGAAAATACAGTATACAACCAAGCCTCAAGACATTAAATTTGACTAGAGGCGTTTGACTTTGAAGAGCTAATTCATGGTTACCAGGGGTTTTAAAAAAGCAGGGACCTTATCTCGTAGGCTCGAACCGTTATTATTCGTAAAAGAGTACGACCTTTTGAGTTGTTGGAGCTGGTAGTGTCAGCCGAATGAGGCAAATTTGACAGAAGAACGGGAATTTGACCAGCTGATAGTAAGAATTAAAAAATTTCTGGTTGAAAGTATGTCAATAAGCGATGTTAGACAGCCGTTGGTACTTTGAAAATCGACAGTAAAGAGCATATCAAACGGGAAACGGATTGACATCATGATTCTACCCGTTTCATTTTTTGGAAAAAATACCCCAAGCAACAAGTTTTCATTATCATTGATATACTACTTTCTGGTTCTGGTTCTTTTCACACAATTTATTCCCGCCAAAATGTGGTAACATTGACAAATAGACATTTGGGATGTGTACGATTAGGGATTTAGATCGTTTAAAAAATTTAGTTTACTTACACCACATCACTACGTTTTTTTGAACTGGTTTTCTTGAAACAAAGCACTGATAAACAGAAGTCCCCCATGGTACATGTTGACCAGATTACTCTGATTGGCGAAAATAAACACATCTAGGTGGCAAACATAACTGGATAATAAGCCGGATTACTTTCTTGTTGGGTTTTTATACACCTATTATGAACTTTATGAGGACAACTGTTATAATGGTATTTTGCTTGCCTTGAGTAAGAGCAACCCATGTAAGGACTTCCAACTCTTAACATCACAAAAAAGCGTCCTGCTAATGGGATAGAAAATTTTAAGTTTTAAAATTCCTAATCAAAGCTCTCCGGATAATAATCAAATGTTTATGGTTTCATATCTACCTAATCATCATATCAGGCACACTAGTAAGATGTCAGATATAATGCATGTGTTGCTTGAGTAACCTGCTTATTATACAATCATAGACAGCAGAGATGATTTTGTTCTTGAAAAGTCACTGTCACTGCGGTACAGTCATTGGATTAATGTTATAGCATTATTCTGAATATCAAATAGGTATACATACTGTATATTCACCAGCAAACAATGAGTCTCCAAAGACCAGAACTGTGAAAATCATTGTGGTATATTCATGAGCTGACAGGTAGTTGAAGGATATATATGACGATTCTTGAAAGCTGGTATGGGAAATTGGTGCTTATGTGACCACAAAACAATAGTGAACAATATCAGAAAGATTAAACACCAAAAAACCGTTCAAAAAACCCTTTTCACACAATAAACTAAAAAGACCGGAGATGAGACTATTGAATACAGTTCTTAGTACCATTTAACTTACGCCGCGATAGCTTCGACTGTCGGATTGTAATTATCGCCCTTGACACATGCGACAGTTCGCATTGACGCAAGCTCACTGAGTGAACCTACGCACGCATTCGCGGTCAACGCACCATATTGAAGGGCGATCAGTTGTTGAAACTGACTAGATAAATCAACAGAAGCCGACTTCTTTAAAGGAATGCTCAGGAAATTCATAACCCGCTTGTTTCGAAAGTCAGACGAATAGCCCGCAAACCCAAGGTCAAATACCTAAGTAGTATTACAGAAATCGCAAGAAGAAACTCTATATGAGACTATATTTATGACGTCATAATGGATTTTTTCTTGCAACAATCAGTTGAACTCCTATATAATAAGAGAGTTATAAATTTTGAATCATAGTTACTTCGTTACTCAAGTGATGAGATCAAATTTCCGTCCGTCTTCGAAGTTGAATTGGAAGAATACATCTTTTTACATATGTTTAAACTTTTTTTCTGTAGAAAACTAAACTAACTCAAGGTACGCCCTCAGATGGCAATGGCATTTGGATACTTCCCCTTGGTTAACATGATCTTGGAAGGGTGAGGTAAAGGAGAGCACATTGTATTGGAGTAGCACGAGGTGGCTTGCTCATCTGAAGCCTGTCTTCTCTTTTTACCACATGTAGTTTTCCACATGCTGGATATTTTTCAAAACATTCTCAATGAAAGATCACCACAATTATTGTGTATTGTTTTAGATTTTTCACCTGAATAAAATATCTGCCCGTGTTCAGATATTTTCTGTATAAGGTCAATGGTACCAAACCATTTAGTTTGAATACAGTTCATGTTGGCCTACGCATCTCTTCCTCAGCGGTTATAAGGCGTGTCTTCTCTGCAAGTTCCAAACATAACAACTGGCATACATCATCAACGACTCCCTGATCCTCTAATAATTTATCTCTGGAGGCAGATTTATACACTTTTTATTGGGATGAGCAATTATAAAGTAGAAGGAATTGTAGGTGAACTTTTATGCACTTCAAAACTTTTTTTCAGGTATTATCCACACATGTGAAAATTGTCTACAAGCCCCAAGCGTGCCGGATGAACTAGCGATGACACGTATGTAAACGTTTGTCAGTTACAAGTTTCTTTTTTGTTGAGGGGATTTATATATTGTTAATTGTTTTTTAAACGCAAAGACGCATGTTTTAGAATGTAGCTGTAAATAATTCCCCAAAATCAATAGCTCATTAAGTGTTCGACATTGGATGCTGACCACGTTGTTTAAGTGGACTTGTTTAGCTGAAGGCTTTCGGTCATGCATCCGCACCAGATCACGTTTCAATACTGCGTGGGACACAGCTCCTACGTTTCATTAGCCAGCTCATAGAAAAGGTACCCGATATATTGGTAACGAATCAAATATATCTTTCCTGCCTCTTCTCGTCCGACTTCTGATTTTCTATCTGACTGGAAACAACCGAATTTAGAAGGTGCTACTGGTATCTAGTTGTAAAACTAGAATATCCGTTGCATCATCATTGGTGAACCCGACGTGATCTGGTACACCAAGTCAATATACTGTGAGTCTGTTCCATTTTGGAACGTTATTATTCATTGTTATTCTTTATTTGAATTTTATATATTGTGATATACTTTTTTCGCGAATTTTTTTTTCCGGATATATTTTAATTAGACATTTTCGTTAGCTATATTACTATGACGGAACACTCACCCAAGGTTTTTAAGTTAAAGTCTATTTCCCCTATTTCGATTCAGTTAACGCCATTTTGGCCCGACAATATTGAGTCCTGGTTCTGCTATGCAGAAGCCGATTTTTGCATGCACGGAATCACGGACTCGCGCACACGTTTCCTCGCGGTAGTTAAGGCGTTACCGCGCGAGTTTAACAGGTACGTAACACCTAGTATGTTTACTAGTGATGTTTCCGAACCTTACGAATCGCTTAAGCTATCGATTTTAAAACGAGGAGACCTAACTGATCGACAACGGTTAGATCAACTCCTTAACAATATCGACTTGCAACATGGTTCTGCGACGGACATGTTGCTTAGAATGAGAGAAGTCATCGGCCAACGAACTTTCGATGATGGCCTATTTAGACAACTTTTCTTGTCTAAACTCCCTCAACAGGTGCAGGCAGTACTTGTTTCATTTCAAAACAATGCCATAGATGAACTAGCTGCATCTGCCGATCGAATCTTGGAAATCACTAGATCTTCTAAGGCCGAGGTTTTTTCCGTCAAAGAAAAACCCCAATCGACCTCGACTGACATGGCCGAACTATGTCACACGCTTACACGATATCTTAGAGTTCGCAATGACCGTAGTAGGTCAAAAACCCCTCGTAGAAGTGCCTCACGTAAGCGATCTGGCTCTCGACCACGAGAGACAGACAATCCCGACTGGTGCTGGTATCATAACCAGTACGGTAAGTTTTCCAGAAATTGCAGGAAACCTTGCAATTATCCGACCCAAAATCGAGTGACACGAAAAACAGTTCGGGAAACTTCCCAGCCGGCACGCGTTAACGGCAACCGTAGCCGGCGAACACAGCCGCCTCTTATATGTCACGGATGTGACTACGAAAGTTCGCTACCTCGTCGACACTGGCGCAGAAGTTAGCGTTCTTCCAGCAAATCTCGACGACAGACTTCGCGAGTCTGTTTTAAGTTTACAGGCGGCAAACGGAAAGCCGATCGCTACTTACGGTAAAAGGTACGTCTACCTTAACGTGGGTTTACGTAAACCCATACACTGGATTTTCGTGGTTGCAGATGTCTCTATGCCAATCATTGGTATTGACCTGTTACAACACCACAATCTACTCATCGACACACGCGCACGAAGGTTAATAGACGGAAACACTAAGTTTTCCGTTTGCGTAACTCCTTGTTCTGGTTGCAGGTTATCCCCAGTCACGATTAAGCACGCCATAGACCCCTTGTACCAATCAGTACTCGACAAATACCCCGGGATATACCAATCGCAATCGAAATTACCTTGTGTAACCAGCAATGTTACACATCACATCTCGACTACAGGACCACCTGTATTTTCGAAAGCCCGAAGACTCGCTCCCGAAAAGCTTAGGTTAGCTAAAAACGAATTCAACCACATGATGGACCCAGGAATAATTCGACCATCGAATAGTCCATGGGCATCCCCATTGCATATGGTCCCTAAAAAGGACAGCAATGATTGGCGGCCAACTGGTGATTATCGGCGTCTGAATGCTAAAACCATTCCCGATCGTTACCCGCTGCCTCATATTCACGATTTGACAGCTACCTTGAAAGGTACAACTGTCTTTTCGAAAATCGACTTGGTTAAAGCTTATAACCAAATCCCGATGGCAACTGACGACATTCCTAAAACCGCCATCATCACTCCCTTCGGTCTTTACGAATTTCTACGAATGCCTTTTGGTTTAAGAAACGCGGCTCAAACCTTCCAAAGGTTTATAGACGACGTCTTCCGAGGTCTCAACTTCGTACATGCGTATGTTGATGACTGTCTAATAGCAAGTCCGGACAGAGAATCGCATCTCAAGCATCTGGACATTGTTTTCGATCGACTTCAAAGGCATGGCATTACTGTCAACATTCAGAAATGCCAAATCGGAACTAACTGCTTAGATTTCTTAGGACACACCATTGATGCCCAAGGCATCCGACCCCTTAGGAGCAAAGTGGCGGCCATTCTGGATTACCCAGAACCGACCACGATCAAGCAGTTGCGAACTTTTAACGGACTCGTAAGTTTCTATAGACGGTTCATACCTAAATGCGCATCCCTAATGAAACCGTTGACCGATCAGCTTCGTGGAAATGCGAAATCAATTAGTTTAGACGACACAGCCCGTAAAGCATTTTCCACAGTTAAGGAACACATCGCTAAAGCAACCTTGCTTGCTCATCAGGACAGTCAAGCGCCCATTAGTATCGCCGTAGACGCATCCGACTCAGCAATCGGAGCAGTCTTACAACAATGGGTTAACAACTCGTGGCAACCTTTAGGATTTTTCTCGAGACGGTTGCTAGACGCGGAATCTAGGTACAGCACGTTCGGTAGGGAACTCCTAGCTATGTATTGTGCTGTACGGCATTTTCAACATTCCATCGAAGGAAGAGAATTCACGCTTTTTACCGATCACAAACCTCTTACCTTCTCTTTAAATTCATCTTCAGATAAATACTCACCCCTCATCAGAAAAATTAAACACCAAAAAACCGTTCAAAAAACCCTTTTCACACAATAAACTAAAAAGACCGGAGATGAGACTATTGAATACAGTTCTTAGTACCATTTAACTTACGCCGCGATAGCTTCGACTGTCGGATTGTAATTATCGCCCTTGACACATGCGACAGTTCGCATTGACGCAAGCTCACTGAGTGAACCTACGCACGCATTCGCGGTCAACGCACCATATTGAAGGGCGATCAGTTGTTGAAACTGACTAGATAAATCAACAGAAGCCGACTTCTTTAAAGGAATGCTCAGGAAATTCATAACCCGCTTGTTTCGAAAGTCAGACGAATAGCCCGCAAACCCAAGGTCAAATACCTAAGTAGTATTACAGAAATCGCAAGAAGAAACTCTATATGAGACTATATTTATGACGTCATAATGGATTTTTTCTTGCAACAATCAGTTGAACTCCTATATAATAAGAGAGTTATAAATTTTGAATCATAGTTACTTCGTTACTCAAGTGATGAGATCAAATTTCCGTCCGTCTTCGAAGTTGAATTGGAAGAATACATCTTTTTACATATGTTTAAACTTTTTTTCTGTAGAAAACTAAACTAACTCAAGGTACGCCCTCAGATGGCAATGGCATTTGGATACTTCCCCTTGGTTAACATGATCTTGGAAGGGTGAGGTAAAGGAGAGCACATTGTATTGGAGTAGCACGAGGTGGCTTGCTCATCTGAAGCCTGTCTTCTCTTTTTACCACATGTAGTTTTCCACATGCTGGATATTTTTCAAAACATTCTCAATGAAAGATCACCACAATTATTGTGTATTGTTTTAGATTTTTCACCTGAATAAAATATCTGCCCGTGTTCAGATATTTTCTGTATAAGGTCAATGGTACCAAACCATTTAGTTTGAATACAGTTCATGTTGGCCTACGCATCTCTTCCTCAGCGGTTATAAGGCGTGTCTTCTCTGCAAGTTCCAAACATAACAACTGGC